GATTTTTATTCAGGTCCATACTACTAGTAGTTTAGTTTCTAAAACTTATTTTGTGCTTTGCTTGTAAGGAACAGAATCCGGTATCTAGTCATATATTTCTTCAGACCCTGCACCGCAGATTTATCTCTATATTGTCTCATAAATGTGCAGATTTGACAGTTTGAAAATTTGAATCGAGAGACCAATGCATTTTTCTCCAATTTCGACATTATTTATGCATGCCTAGAAAAAGTAAATCTGCAGAACGTTAGTCCTTTATGTTAGGAAACGTTTATAAAAGTAAATGACCAGTTGAACCTATTTTCCTGTTTGTTAAATGCGTTTGAAAAAATAAACAATGTTACAGTATAGAGCGAGGTGATTTGTGCAGGGTTACAGCATAGACCTAGCGACTTTGATCCGATTTTGTTACAGTTTATACCCAGGTTCCGGTTACAGTTTAGACTTCGATATTTTCTATATATACTAGGTAAAATGTATGAATGTTACATAGACATTTAAATCTCTTTGAGCTTATTGGCCCGATGACTATTCGTCCGTCTGTCCTACACATGTGTGTGCAATCTCATCCGCTCAGTAACTACTTGACTAAATGTGATGAAATTTACATGACTTTCTACCAATTAAGTTATTCAAATGGTTTCGGTTGCAATCGGTGATACGAAAACCGAAAACATATATTTTGAAAAAAGGCAATGTTTAAAGACCCTTCTCATCTCGAACTAAAAGCATTCAAATCAAATCATGATCATGGCGTCATTTCGAATGCTTCTTTGTTGAAGTTACGATTATTTTGTCATTATTAAATTAAAAGTCGTTTTTTTTTATTTCAGACATCCTGTATAGCAGTTTTCATGTTTCTGAAAAAGAAAATAATATTGAAAGTTATAGAGTATAAATTAAGGTCAGACAATTACAATATCTTCTCTAGTGAGCCTGATGGAGGTACATAATAGTATAGTGGCAGAGTCGGGATAAGGCCGCTGACTTCAAGTCATCTTTCATTTACTGCTTTAGTTGAAATTCAATCATGACTTTTGATTCTTTGTATGTGAGGAATCAATCAAGCTCATTTTCGAAAGGTCGGTGGTTCTAGTCAGGTGCCCGCTCGTGTTTGAAATGTTTCACAAATCTGGGGTCTTTCTTTACACTAAAGCAGGAATGTTTTTGCATGACCTCAGTGTCGTTGAAACTTAAAATCCAAGAAAGCCAAACGTAACAAACCCTTTTAAATACTTACAAAATACATAATGGTAGATGGAAATTCAAACTTAAAATAAATTTAAGATTGCAGTATTGCTCACTTAAATACTGTTTAATCATTCCTAGCTAGGGTATTGCCTGCTTGTTAATTGTGTCTTTTGACAGCTTATCTATGATATGCAGGCTTCATAACCTCCGATCCCCTCTCAAAATTTCATTTTATTTAGTTTCACTCATTGTATTCTCGTTTAGGGCACACGCAAATTTTAACCTGGGGGTAATATGCCGCTTTTCATAGAATGGCAATAACGTGTCACATTGAAGGTTCCATGATAACCGCCATATGAACACATCCACAGATGTTAAAAAATCTAAAGTGTACCAGTTCATGTTTAATGTGAATTCTGCTGAAGCCGGTGCTAGGAGGCGTGGACGGTAGCTTGCAGTTACCACTATCGTCCATGAACAGGTTTAATCAAACTGAGCCTGCAACATTTTCATGTTTTCCGTGTTGGACTTCTGTTAAGGATTCTTTTTTCTCTATTTTATTACTAATAGGCATTATTATAATGTGTAATGAAATCAAGCAATAATCTTTCTTTTCTCAATACAATTCGATAAAAGTTACTGTTGTTGTCGTGAAAACAGTCCTTACTTAGGACATTACTTATTTTGCAAAAAGTCTCAATCTTAAACTTAAAGTAAGAAAAATAGCAAACTATAACTTTTCTGCTAAAGAAAAAAAGTAATACAACCTTTCAAGAATGTATTAAATAGAAAGGTATGAGTTATTTCATAAAAATAATGGGTTTGGAATTTGGCAAGTATCTAAACTGTAACCGAAATCTGGGTATAAACTGTAACAAAATTGAATCAAAGTCGCTAGGTCTATGCTGTAACCCTTCAAAATTAACCTCGCTCTATACTGTAACATTGTTTATTTTTTCAAACACATTTTACCAACAGGAAAATAGGTTCAACAGGTCATTTACTTTTATAAACGTTTCTCAACACAAATGACTAACGTTTTGTAGATTAACTTTATCTAGGCATGCTTTAATAATATCGGAATTGGAGAAAAATGCATTGGTCTCTCGATTCAAATTTTTAACCCGTCAAATCTGCACATTTATGAGACAATATAGAGATAAATCTGCGGTGCAGGGTCTGAAGAAATATATGACTAGATACCGGATTTTGTTCCTTACAAGCAAAGCACAAAAACAAGTTTTAGAAACTAAACTACTAGTAGTATGGACCTGAATAAAAATCACCTACCTCTCTTCCCATAAATAATCCTCCATCTTGAAAATTCTATACTGTAACCGAAAAACGCGATACTGTAACACGTTCCCTATAACAATTTATATTCGACTTAACATCTTTTCTAAAATGGGTTCATAGGGTCTAGCCGGAAAAGGCGAGATATGAGCTGAAATAGCCATTTATAGTTCGACGAAATGATGGCCAAATATCAAATTATTTTATATGGATACGCGTTTACCAGCAAACATACCCTCAGACTCCCTAACAATCCCACCACAGTGGGTCCTAGGGAATTGAGCATAGGGCTCATAGGGGTCAGCCGGAAAAGGATGAGATATGAACTGATATTACAATTTATTGTTTGATATTCGGCCACACGTCGGCAAAATACAAGTGTTTTCCATCGGACACGCCTATACTATATGGGGTCTTTGGCTTTGAAACGGCCCTTACAGAGAGCAGAAATGGCGAGATGTGAGCTCATATGACCTTTTACAGTCTGATTTTCGGCTTAATGTCTGCAAAATACCAGAGTATTTAGACGGACACACCTATTTCAGCGGACACACGGTCAAAATGCCTTACTATCCGACCATATCTTGTTCTGTTGAGTTGAGCCTTGATCTGACAGGGGCCAGTCGGAAATGGCAAATACCTGCTTGAATGTCCATTTACAGTTCGATGTTTGGCATAATGTTGTATTCTGCGTAATGTTGACAAAATAGTAGAATGATCCCGACGGACACATCTTTAACAGCAGACACACAAGGCTCAGCCGGAAATAACGAGGTATGGGGTGAAATAATCACTGCTGACCACGGTCAGAACCCTTATCCTCCCACAATATTGGGGTTTAAGGAATTGACCCTGGGTCTCACAGGGCAAGCCTGAAATTAGGAGATATACAAAAATAATAATTTACAGTTCGATTATATCGACGGACACACAAGATATTATAGCTTTAATTTCATTTTATAGTTCGATTTTCGGTTCAACGCCGGTAGGATATCAAATTTCTTCCTACGGACACACCTTCACCAGTGGAATCACGGTCAGACCCCCTTCCCATCCCATCATATGGGGCTCTCTGGAATATGTGTCTCACAGGGGCTAGCTGGAAATGACGAGATTTGAGCCGAAATTGCAATTCACAGTTCGATTTTCGGCTTAACATCGATAGGTTACCAGAATAGCAGACATACGGGGGCCAGCCGGAAATGGCAAGCTGAAATGTCCATTTACTGTTCTATTTTGGCGTATTGTCGGCAAATTAAAAGAGGGCTCCCGACAGACCCCATTTTACCATCAGATACACAGGAGCCAGCAAGAAATGGTGAGATATAAACTGAATCGAGCATTTTCAGTTCGAATTTTTCCCGACGGACACACCTGTATCAGCTGATCCACGTTCAGAAACCCTTACCATCCCATCATACGGGGTTCTGTGGAATTGAGGCTTCGCGACGGACACATGTATACAAGTGGTAACACGGACACCGTACACGACAGACATATTCTTAACTCAGTCATATGTTATGCCGTCAGTCCGTCTATCTTTTAGAAGTTTTCATGTCCTATTTATATCTTTTAAACCGGTGGAAGGAAATTGAAAGTTTTTTGCTGAAATGTTGTGGGTAACTATGTGGGTACCCTTCTAAGGTCATTTCTTTTTTCATTTTTTATCAGTTTCAATATTTTGTGGCCGCTCTATATCTATTGAACCAAGATAAAGAAATTAATACTTTTTGGCAGAAATAATACTTAAAATAACACGGTGTTCAGAACAAAGGTTCGGGCTTCCTGAGATCACATTGGCCCCGCCCTGGGGATTACTTGATTTATAATGACAAATATAAGAGCTGTCGTGTCCGTGGATGATTTGATTTATATATATATATATATGAAAACACATTTAAGTTTTATTTTGTTTAACTAGCTTAGATATTTAGCAGGAAGCATAATCTTTTTTACTTTTAAAAACTGATATGAGTCATGCCACTTAATTGAGTATTGGTCCCACCTAAGGGGTCACTTGATTTATTTTGACTTATATACCAAAAACACATCTGAATCTTATTGGCCATAGCTTAGATAATTGGCATGTAACATCACTTTTTGGACCGCAATATAACTGGAATTAATTATGCTTCTTGTATATTGTGTATATTGCTCGCCAAAGTGGTGCTCTTGTTCATCATTAAAAGACATAATTCCGATTATTTTAACTAGCCGAAATAGCTGGAGATCAAATTGATAAGTAATTTGAAACTACATCGTGGAATAAACCAATGATCTTTTACACATGCTTTACTGTATCATTTTTGGCTAGTCTGTTCAGCCGGAACCGGATTTTGGCTTGACGGAGTAGCCGGGACAGCCGGACAAGACAAATATTTGTGGCAGCTTCTCCGGCTGTCCCGGCTGTCTGGCTAACTCTACGACCATACAGTTTTCCTCCTCTTCAACAGAACATAATGTTAACATAATGTAAGAAAGAAAAACGATAATTACTTCAAAAAATTGATTAATTACTCGCTTGTTTTGTTTACTTTTCTAGGTATTACACAAAGACTATAAGAGATTGCTGCCCGTATTACAAAGGACCCTCTTGCTCAGACCGTAATTTTAATACTTTTTTTACACTATACGAACACACTTATATGTTTTATTTCATAGATTATTTTTAAATATCAAAAAAGTCTGACGCTGTAAGGAAATTTGCCATGACTTTATAAAACATTTTAAATTTCTTAGCTAGATATTTTGCATATTCATACAACTAAATGTCCTGTACTATTTGATTCAAAGAATAACAACCAAATATTGTGACGTCTTTTTAAGCTTTGTGTAGGATGGGATATGGTTCAAACACTTGTAATATCAACAACGAGGGGTATGTTAAGTACAAAAATGGTAATGTGGTCAGAAACAGTGGCGGAACATGCCTTACCCCGTTTCATTGCCATAACTGCAACAAAGGATATTACCCTACTACATACAAACGTGGATATTGCAAAGGTAGTCTGTTAAAAAATATACTGTGATATGTGTTTATGTATGTGTTTATTTAATATCCGATACATACTTATAATAGATCAAAATGTTTATGTGCAGGTCAAAATCCTCTGCAAAATGATGGGAAATTTAAATTATAAGGAGACCTATTTTTGATAATAATATGTTTTTATTCTAGCCTGTTACAAGCCAGCACACTGTAATCTACCAGTATGTTCATCATGGAGTAACTATTGGTGTGAATATTGTGAAGGTGAATATATCAGGGGAAAGCGAGGCTTTAACGTTTATACAGGGTTACCTGATAACAAGAAATGTCAAAGTAAGTTTTCAATAACTGACCAGATCATTATTTGTAGATGCTTCCCTCTATAAAATGAATATCAGTCAGTCCACAAGAACAAAAAAGATTACACTTTTGAAAAGGTGGACACCAGATGAAATATATGCAAAAAGAAAAGATGAGGATGCGAATTCTTATGTTATGTTCATTGCTGTATGTAACTTCAATTGATCATATCAGGGTTAATTAAAGTGCATTACTACAGTGTGATCACTAAATTGATTTGCCAAGAATCAAACTTATTTTGAAATGAAAATGAGGAATAACAATGGATTAAAAAAGTTAAATGTATGAATTCATGATGAAGAACAGTATTTGTGTCAACGTTAAAATGCGCATATTTTGTAAAGTAGTTATAATTTATTTAAGATACGTTGTTCTATGTCATCATTTAACTAAATATTCAAAATCAAATGATAAGAATACACAATGGAGAAATATTGAAATAGAAATTTGATATCGATCCTGGTTCTTAACCTTAAAACTTTGTGAACACGGGACCTGATGTGAATATTATCTTAAATGATCATATAATTAAATGATTTTATTCATACAAATATTTAAGGAGCTAATTGCAGTAATTCAGAATAAGGCTTAGTGCAGTTAAGTCATGAAACCTCCCAAAGTGGAACATTCTGTTATACACAAAATAGTCATAGAAATAACAGTTTTCATACTAGAATTTTTTATAATTTCTATTTCACTGACTGAACGTACATAAATTGTGTTATTTATTAGATATACATGCCATCCCATGAAAATGCCTAAATTGATCTTAATGTATAATCTTACAAACGATTGACTTCGACTATTGATTAATTATGTGTAGCCATGTCTAACAGTACATGTGCATCACTCCACTCATAACGTCCAATCTTCTAATTTTAATACTTTAATCGAATATAAAACTTCCTTTTGCTTCTACATGTATATTTGTTTGGTAACATTTCTATTTCTAAAAGTAACTCTTTTAAAAGCGACGATATGTTAAATTAAATTCCGCCGCCAAAGCGGTGAACATGAATAGGGAAAAGCAGTAATACATTTTCCCCAGTTAATACAACTTACCCCTTGGAAACCATTTTGAAAAAAATTGCAATTATTATTAAGGCCAACTATAGCATAGTATTTTTATTGCGATAGCTTTATCTAAATGTCCACACGGTTATACTTTTTCAAAATGCAATGGTTTGGTTTGTTAAGTTATTTGTTTTTTGGAATATTCATATATTAAAATGAATATATTTCAGGGGCTTGTTCATGGGATAAAGGAGCCAGATGCTTCCCGGGTACTTGCACAGGCAACATGGTACTGGAAACAGATTGTCAATGTGCCAAAGGCTTTACATCCAAATATAGTGATTGTTCCACAGGTACACACATGTAAATAGATATATACATAAAGGATAAATAAGTATTTTATAACATTTGTTATGCCCCCGCCATAAAATGGCAAGCTTAAATTTGGTCATTGTTTGATGAATTTCGGCAGAGTTATGTCCCTTTAACTTCAGAAAGAAATTTTCAGTTTTTGATCATTATCCCTCCAACAGTTAAGCACATTCAACTCAACTTTAAGATATCGATATGATATAAAAATGTGCAGGTCAAGTTCGAATTTGGTCATGGTTTGATGATTTGACACATTCAATTCAAATTTGATATATGAATACATCGAAGTAATGCGCAGGTCATGTTCGAATTTGGCCTTGGTCTGATATTTTCCCTTAATTTGAGAGAAAAAAGATATTTTAAGTTTCCGTTCATTATCTCCCAAAATAGTTATACACTTTCAACTTAAATTTAATATTTAGATACATCTTTGGAATAAGCAGGCCAAGTTTGAAATTGGCCATAATTCGATGATTTTCGACAACGTTATTTCTCTTGAACGTTGGAAAAAATAAAACTTTCAGTTTCCACATTCTTTCATTTGTAGAATTGTATGTAGTCATTATCTCGGCTACAAATACTCAATATGCAATTTGCAAAATGTTGACACTGAATACCTCATGGCCTTGAACTTTGTATAAAAATGGTTTTAGTTAACATTGCATATTTGAAGGGCTTTGAATTAAGAATGAAACAAAAGTTTGTGCAAACAAATTTGGAATTAAATATTATTAAATCATTTGGAATTTTGGTTGTATGCGGTGGATCCGTTGCGTGAAAACATTTCTAGTTTATTTGAATTTTCCATCAAGGATACCTGCATATGAATAATTCTTCAATGAAATTTACTTGAAACCTTATCGCTTGAATTTCAGTCCCTATCGTTACTAAAAAACAAAAAATGTTTTTTTAATGTTGCCCCTTTGCTTGAGTAACTATTTCTGTTTTTTGATACGAATTTGCCTTTTGCTGCCCCAGTTGGCCGGGTGAACTTTAAGGATCGTTGAATGTCGTCATCCCTTGCTGTTTTTCGTCCATAGATGAAAAAGAGGGCACAGGAGAAAAATAAAATTACTTATTTAAAAAATAGAGGCCAAAATTCTGAAATTTTAGAAAATTTAATAAAGATTTAAGTCAAAACCGAGTTTCCCTGGGGTTTTAAAAATTTGGGCAGAAAAAACAGACCCACGCCCCCACCTTTTTTTTAACCCCAATTTTCCGTAAAAAGGTTAAAGTTTACTTTTATTTGAATTTTTATCTACATGTGGTAAAAAATGGAAACTGGGTTAAAAAAATAAATTTCTCTCAAGTTTGAAATGGTTCACTGTGGTCCAAAGCTAATTGACACAGCTCAAATATAGAACAATTTTGTTTACATATGCACTACTTCGGATGCCGATATGAACGTTATGATATCAGTTTACGATTAAGGAATTTTATATGTTTGTTCATTAAAAGACATGTAATCTGCTTTCATTAATAGCTAACTACATGTATATTGATTATGTCATTTAACGCCGTAATGATCAGCTGAGCGATATAAGGGCCATCATTTCACTCTTGTTTTATTTTAGCAACATCTGAAAAACTTCCTGCGATAAAACAAATGTATTTTAAGCTCCTTGGTTCTGAAAACATACCAAAAATAGTGGACAAGGCACTTCTACATGAATCACATGAAGGCACATTTTGGACAAAAGAAACCGGTTGGTCGAGTATTTCGCTGGAAGGATCTTCACACTACAAGCTCGAAATTGACAGTGCCAATGTACCAAATCATACTCTTGATTATAGTGTTGGAATACAAGTGCAAGAGCTGGTTTTAACTTTATTACGGGGTAACTATTTCAATTTTGATAAAGAGTAGAAATCATCATAACTTTTTGTCTAGAAATCGTTTGATTTTATTTATCTGCTAATGGCGAACTGACTTTACGGCTCACCATAGGGAACGTGTTTCAGTTTCATGCTTTGTGGTTAACAAGAGTTTTAACTCTATCAAATCTATTGGCTATTAATAATGTGTTTTTGTTGTTTTGCCCGTCAAGATGGCGAAGAATAGGTACGGATACAACGAGGGTGGGGACTCTAAGGGGATGCTTAAAAGTTTTTTTCATAAAATTGAGGCAAGCGAAGTTTAACGCAAGCTGCGATGATATGGAGTAACACCACCACAGTTAATTACTGCATAGTATAAAAAGATGTCACGAACTGAACTAAAAGACACAGAAATTCCATTACTTCTGTACTGGTACTCGATTTATACTGTGTCAGGCCGCTTAAGTTAATGCCGGGGAAAAGCTACTTAATATTTGTGTTTTTATATTGGTTATATTTGGTAAAGGGCCTGATGCCTTATTAACAAAATGTAAAACAAGGCAGTCTGAAGGACAGCTAAATCCCCTTCGGCAGTGAACATGAATGTGTTATTCTTGACATTTTTCAAACCATGACCTTGATGTTGTGCCATGCATATAATAAGCACATAGCCTCACGATGGTGATTATTTGTGCCAACTAATTTAAAATCTTCCCGAAAGTCAAAAAGTTATGGAGAACATATAACTTGACTTTGTGGTAGCAACCTGGATGTTGAGCAGTGCAAACTTTGTCATTGTGGGGATAGTTTGTGCCAAGTAATTTTAAAACCTTTGAATTGGCAATAAGTTATAGAGTTGACATGAAAAATTAGATGTTTTTACATTGGACCTTTGAGTGTGACCCTGACCTTGAGGGTTGTGACTTGATAATTGTGTTTTACCAATGGTGTCATAATAATGATCATTTCTTAAAAGTTTTCTTTAAAACATTGCAGTGGTTTAAAAGTTATGGAGCGGACACGAAAATGTTGCCTTTAACACTTGACCTTAAAGTGTGGCCTTGACCTTAGGGGTAGCAACCAAATATTGCGCTCAATCATCGTCTCTTTATAGTGGTCACTTGTACCAAGTTATTTCAAAAATATTTCAGCGGTGTAAAAGTTATTGAGCGAACACGAAAGTGTTACGGGCGGACAGATGGATGGTCTGAAAGACGGACTGAGTGACAGACAGAGGCCATTCCTGTAATCCCCTGTCCGCTACGCGGATGGGGATGAAAAACTGCTATTTAAGTTTTTGAAGTCAGGATTACATCAGCACATCACTTTACCAATAAGTTTGGAAGGAAAATACAAATACAAAAATATCTTCAAAATGGACTTGTTTCTCAGTTTTTAAATGTATTTAGATGAATAGATAGAACAACTCAGATGTTTTATGGCGATGTAATGTTATAGCTCTTAAATCCGATGCGTTTTGCCAAAGCAGCTTCCCTTTATATGTAGATACCGTGTTTAACGCATGATAAATTTAGCCTTGTTCCCTGTTCACTGCCCTCATTACATGAAATGAGACAGTTGCAAAGTCCATTATTTGAATAAAGATATAAAGAAAACATTGTCATTGTCTTATATTTATATTGAAAATCGCAAAATAAATATAATCATTCCACAAAATCATTCATGTTTATCATCCAAACAAACAGACAAAGATATAAGCAAAACCTGGTTTAAGATAAATTTATCAAAATGGTAAATTAGCCCCTTTTATTTAGCTACTAACTTACTTTTTAACTATTTGATTTACATAAACACTGAAGCATAAATGATTATTTTAACCAATAAGTTTTTCAAAATTATATCTTTGAGAGTTTGAAAGGTTTATATTTATATACATTTTCACTTGTACATCAGTGGTAATTAATAGACAATTATAAAGAATTATTTTAAATTTGTTTATAGGAATAGAAATAAATATTTTCATCAATATTGTGTCACACTAATTTCTTAACATATGCATTTTATATGTTTTCATTTAGAATAATATGAATGTAAAACTCAAGTAAAAGTAAAGTTTTCAAACCTTGTATTTAACATTCATAAAACATATAAAAACAAAAAAATGTTTCTTTGCTTCTCAACATATTCAATATATATTTATGCTAAATTAATGAGAAAAAAAATCCATAGTAACTTGCATGATTCGAACTAACCTAATTATGAGCTTAATGATTATTTGATTGTATAAACAGTAATCAATCGCATGACATGTAAATAGTAGTTTTTGTTGCAAGCGTATGTTTATGAAACGAATTGCATTAATCATAAACCTCATGACAAATGTTGCATACAGTAGTGAGTGCCTGTCACCACCACCATTTTTACCTTTGAATATTTTGTTCAGAATTATTAACACACAAATGAATATTCTTTACAAACAGGTTCAGAAAATGCAGAATGGAAAATTGATGGAGGTTGCACAAACTTTAACGAAAGCTGCAGCAAGGCAATCACAAATAAAAGGATAAGTAATATTGACTCTTGGAGGAAAATTTTAAACTATAGGGATTTTAAACACGCTGATAAGTGAGTATACAAATATATAAGTTCGACAATTCTTAAAGTTACAAGTATATTCACAATTCTTGAAAAATAAAGTTTTAATTATAGAAAGCTTAAATGAATTGTCATAGTTACATTTTAAATATGCTTTACTTAAAGGTCAATTTTGTATATCTATTTGCTCAAGAGTACATTCAACTTCAACAAATCCAATTCACACAGTATAACAATAGTTGACTTAACTTTCCAATTTTAATTGGCGGTGATTTCAAAATAAATAATTAACCATTTTCTGTACTTGTTTATAAAATATGAATTGAAACAATACGTGTATGCTATAGGATCAAGTTCAAATTGTCAGCCAAAAATGGCGGCAAAGTCATCTATGAGGACAGAGGTAGCTTCCAACCTCCATATACGATAGGACACTATTTTCTCAATGGCATTACGACAAGCGAAGAGTTTGAACTTGGTTTTGATACATTTACGCCAAACCATTGCTTTGAACAAGATAATGACTGTGTTCATGATGCATTAAAAGTAACTGATTTCTTCACTGAGGTACATATTTAATAAATGTACATAATATATATAAATACAAACTGTATAGTTATTCAATATGATAGTGCTTTTATTAATTAGTTTATGCAATGTATTTTAATATATATTGCCGCTCGTGCATGAAATACACGGAGGGGCATCAAAGTATTCCTCCAGCAGTAAAGCTGGAAAGTCACCATATGGCCTCTTCTGTGTTGGTGGGACGTAAAACCCAACCAAAATAAATGCTCATAGTTTTGAAGTAACGATCGATACCTTATTTTGTAGAACTAGAAACAATTGCAACATCGGTCGGTTCATGTTTATATGTTTTAACATTATACGCGTAAAATAACAGTAATATCTCGGTCACATATTCACGGATAACGCCACGGAAGAGCTACGGACTATTCGTACACGGATTACTACGGAAATGCCAAATTCTGTAGTTCACTCCGTTTACAGCGGTATGAATACGGAGTTCGACGGATCTGATACCCCGATCACATATTCACGGAAAACGCCCACGGAAGAGCCACGGATTAATTCCGGCATCGTCCGTAGCTACCCGTACTGGTCAATAGCTCTCCGTATTGTAATCGTAATCAATCGTGGTAGTCCTTGTATATCCGTAGCGATCCTTGACAATTTTTGAACATGCACAAAAATTTGCTACAGAAAAATCAACCGTAGCGTTTCCCTGCTAGTCCGTATTAAACCGTATTGATATGTATTGGTCCGTACGGAAACCGTACAAGTCCGTACTTATTAGTAGTCCACCAACATCTTATTTGTACGGTAACCCTACGTATAAGCTACTGTTTAAATACGGATTAATACGGCATTGTCACGGAAAGCAACGGTCTTATACGGTTTATTGCGTTGCATCACGAAACGGTACGGAATGGTACGGTCCATCACTGTTTAATACGGATAAATTAAGTATCATGTACTTTTCAATGGTATAAATACAACCTTCTTGTTAAAAAGGGAACATTCAATAAAAGATAATTGCCATCTGAATGGCTGCAACTTTATGTTGAAATGGCTCAGAATGCGGAGGCAGTGATCGAGCTGCTTGATGAGATGCATAGAGGTAAAATATATTAATATCGTACCACAATTCATACGTAATAGAAAACATTTAATGTTACATATTTTACAAACATTGGATCGTGAAATTGGAGTAAATATGTACATAAAATGACGTGTATCATAAGCCTCGGACGCTGGCCCTTGAGTAATAATAGGATTAATTAAGAAGCTTTTTTTACATATTTTTAAAACATAAACATTCACGATAATTAATGTAATTGTAAAATGTCAAAACAGCAAATTTTAAAATTGAAAGAGAAGCAGTATTGATCGGCATTTTCATTAATGATCTAATCAGGTAAGAGAAGACAGACGACATGGTGAATTTTACGAAGACCCCTTCATGTTCATGGCCGAACTTGTGGAGGATCCGGCGTACTTCAAGAAATTCACTTGAATCGGACCTGATATGTCTCGGGGATTGGACTCATGAGCCCGAATCCTCTCCGCCAAAATCATTGAACTCTGCAATTCGTTTTCTATGTGTCCTTTTCTTGTGAGGCATTATGCAAATGAGCATGCATGAGGCTGTGGACGGATATAATAGGTCCATATAGATCCGTGGCATTTCGTTCTTCTCCGTATCAATTCGTTCTTCTCCGTATTAGACCGTACTTATTCGTACTAACCCATTCTTATACCGTAGCAGACCGAGGTGTTTCCGTAGTGCGTCCGTCCTGATTCGTGTCGCTCCATATCAAACAGTGTCGGTCCGTAACAATCAGTGTCTCTCCGGGGACTTTTGGTGGTAAATCCGTCAAACTCCGTACACATACCGTTGTGTGTCCGTACTGGAACCGTAGCGTACTACGGAATTTCACTTTTCCGTAGTAGTCCGTGAAAGATTAGACCGTAGCTCTTCCGTGGCATTATCCGTGAATATGTGACCGGGCACGCCAAAATGTAGGTAAAAGCCCCGGGAAAGACCCGATATGTTACGAAGCGACACGAATCAGGACGGACGCACTACGGATACACCTCGGTCTGCTACGGTAAAAGCACGGGTTAGTACTAATAAGTACGGTCTGATAGGTCTGATGCGGAGAAGAACGAATCGCCACAGATCTATGCGGACCTTGATACTCATGAGCTAGCGTCTGAGGCTAGATATGTAAATATTTTCTCCAATTTGCCGATCCAATGTTTTGTAAAATATGTAACTTTGAAAAAAATTATCAAAACTTAGGACAGCATGTTTAAAGTCTTAAAATATAGTCTTAATATGTAAGCCTCGGTTCAAAAATCTACAATGTTTGAGAGATTCTCCGATCCCTTTCTGATTGGCCTCCGTGTATTTAATGCGCGTCAACACAATTTAGGTCATATCGCGCCGAAACATGAAAGGTGATTTTAGCTAACGTTTGGTGTTACAAATTAAAAGCAACATGACCTTACCTTCTGGAGCTATGAGATACGTAGAATCCAGTTATTTGAACCTATCAAGTTGCCTCCTACGATCACACAGGGATAAACAGTCACTGCAATTCCAATGTCACAACCCTTAAAGGCAACCACTTAACCACAAGGGGGCGCCGATTCACAGCCGACACGAGAACAAAAAGAACAAATAATCAAGTATACATTAAAATCCAAATTACGTACGCTATTATAAAGCAAGCATCTGGCATCAATATAGAGATATTTCAAGTATTCCAACCAGCGTTTCCTCATTTGTAGTCTTGAATTTGAAATATCATATTAAAATAAAATTCCGGAAGGGGGAGATCCATCCCCGAGTGCAATGAAAAATAGAGCAATAAAACAGATACTTGATTGTGTCTGTTGATAACAGATAATTAACAATGTCTTATATCGCACGTCCTTGCCATCGGATTAAGCAGTATTAAATCATCAAAACTTAAAGTAATATTAATGATTTGTTTATATGTATTAATATATTGATATATAAAAGTGAACAAAATCTGAAATCAAAAGATCGATATTTATGTTTTCCACATATCGACTTTTTCAGTCTAAAGTCACTGGTTTTTGGGATGGATGGACTGATTTAGATTCGGGAATAGACGCGTACGAATTCAATATTTATTATTTAGAAAATTCCTTGGATGATAATCTTCTTCAATACAAATACATGCTAACACCAAGCACATTATCATCAACTTATGTAAGTATGAAAATTAGGCGAACAATTTATTCATAAATCATTTCCATAAAAGTTAATAAATCGTTTTACCACTTTCACTAGTGCCTGATAATTAATAATAATTGAAAGAAATATATACGAATGTCAAATCATTATAGCCTCAATATAATCATGTTGTTTTTTTTTTGTTATTTTTTTTCAGAAATATATTATAACAAAATTATATCATTATTTTCAGTCCTCCACAACTTTTGACCTAGACGAACCCGGGCCATATTCAGTAGAGATTATTGTACATGACCGTGCCAAAAATTACAAAATTGCCAGGAGAATTATTCTCTATGACAATGCGTCTGTTGTTGATCTATACGGAAAACCTCCAAGCATTGTTCAAGCCCTGGAAAACGGGTGGATAAATAAACATAGCGAAGAAATAGAAATTGTTTGGCCGAATAGATTTCGAAATATTAGACATAGCAATGGTGGTTGGCTAAATGGTGTACAAGAAAACAAAAATATTTCTAGAGATCTTGATGACCGAGAAGGACGATCAAGTAGAACAATTGACAAACTAAAAAACGTAAACGGTACGATATATACCTATGTAAGGAAGTTATAATAATTTATCCAAATATTATGTACGAAATGCAATAAATGTTAAACTTAGTAGCCAAGTTGATAAATCTTTTATTTACATTTACGATTGCTTATCTATTCATATTATTGGAATATAAAAAGATAAAACTTAATTTAAACGTTTCCGTTATTCAAAATCCGCATTTATGCTACAATTTAGTAGTTTCATCTTTACATGACTCTTTTTCTTTACCTGAAATTGTTTTAGTGTTTATTCTATTTATTTATAAGTTTAAGTATCTATATTGATTTCAGGAATTGTTCGGTTTGATATAGCACGTAACGTTGAAGTTGATGGTAAAACAGATTATGTCAGTTTTGAACGAGTGCCTGATGATTTCTTTAAATTAGAAAAGATGGTATATACTGGTGAAGAATTTGTTGATGGGAAGAAGCTAACGTATTTTATACGCGGAATTGACGCTGTTGGAGAATTTGCTGAGGATAATGTAACAGTTAAGATCGATCTATCTCCGCCAGTTATACAAAACCTTTGGCTCACAAAAGGTGACTGGGTCAACATTAGTGTACACAGTTTTTTAGAATTGAACAAATTAATGTAAGTACTCAAAATATATTATTTATTTTCTAAAAATCATTATTAACGTACTATTTTAGCATAATTGTACTGTACGATTTTATGATATATCTACTAGAAATGTACATAAATGAACATAAAAGATATTGATTTGTATCTATCAAATTCAAGTTTAGTGATACAAAACAATTCCCCGATGTATTTGTAGAATTGAATGGGAAGTATTTGATTTCCACAGTGGTATTCACGAAATTTCATGGAAAATATTTGATAATTTTACCAACAGAGAAGTAGTCCATGGGCATTCCTATGAGCCACCACAAGGGGAAACAGAGGTAAATTAGATAAAGATAAATGTTGGATGATCAGAAAGCTTATTGAATAGATACGAAAATTCTTGATTATACATAGCAACTAGACTTAAGATAGTAGATCTATGTAAATGAAGAGGAATTAACATAAGAACATTAACTTAACACAAATGAACAAAAACATTAAAATAATTGTTCTAAACATAAATACATTTTTTACCAGATGCATTTATTTCAGAAACATTTTTATCACGTGACAGTCATTGACATTGTCAATGTTTGTAAAATGAAAGATCATTTTATTTCCTAAATTTTAAAATTTAAACATTTTAGTTCTTATCCGTTTATGATTGCAACTTCACTATATTTGTTTTAGTTTCGGACATTAATCATTCTATTTCATGGCATATAATTTTTTAGACTATTGAAGAGTGCTGGAGTAATTATTCTATGAACGCCCGAGGAGCAAACTGTTACTGCTCGCCCTATAATGGATGCTTTCACAAACATTTTCAAGTCAACCCACAAGTATCGATAGAAAACAACACTGGCCTCATAAGCGGAAAAGAAATTGGGGAACACGATTTTGACTACATTATAGAGGTTACTGCTACCAACAATGCTGGATTAACAACTATTCTTCAGAAAAAGGCAATGATATGTTCTTGTGTCGTTTTCAAATATATGCTGGAATTTAAAACTTTTATTCTAACTAGCGGTTTTAAATACTGAATGAGCTGTTAATGAAATCTTTGTAAAAAATATTTCCTTAAAGGTATACATAGAGTGTCCAGACATGACTTATCTTTTGGACCATTAACTGGACTCGTATTTATTTCATATTTCATGACCATTCAGAAATTATTATACTATCATAGGTAAAAAAACAACATTTCTGTCAGATTTATTGCTCTTAATATAATTAGAAAGAAATGCCTTATAGTGAAAAGAAGAAAATGGTGATGATGGTAAATTAAATGATAACGATGTTGTTGTTCCTGTTCTTGTTGATAATACTTTGGTTGTTGTAACTGTTGTCGCTATAGTTGTTGTTGTTTTTCTATAATGATGACAATAAGGAAGATGATAATGTAGAAAAGATGTAATAGTTCACTGATTTAATTGTTTTACTAAAGTATCAGATACGATTAAACTTATTATATTTTCACATGAAGCTCATACAAATTTATAATATATGACTAGCGATAATATTGATAATTTATTATTTTTGTCATCCAAATGTGTCGTTGGGTAACTCAAGATTAATTTAACTTATAAAACCACATTCATTCAGACGTATTGAACCACCTACCTGTTCACTATCGTACTACAACACTGGATAAAAGCAATTCATACTAAATAATTTCTGTATTTCGCAGACTGGGTTTTCTATTATGATATTTTCATCAAACATTATGGTGTTTTATGGTTAAAGTTTTGTTTTCTCCCTTTGACAACAAAACAATTCTTCTATGGCAAGTATTTTGAATGTGGAATGTCCATTTACATATACAGTTAAAACTTCTTTCCCCCGATCTTGGATCGCTTGAATTCTTCTTTTCGCTGGAACATCATTACTGTCTATGTACATATGTTTTAATGACACATTCTATTTATTAAAATGAATTTCCAATTAAAATCCTTAAATATTGAAATATATATATATGTTTATCAATCAATGCGATTTAGATTACTATCGATACATCACCACCCCATGAAGGAATTACGCACGATGGTTTTCCAGGGTACCCAGAACTCGATTTTCAGCAGACATTACGTCTTAGCGGCCACTGGGATCACTTCTTTGATAAGGAAAGTGGTGTTTGGTTGTATACATATGGCTTTAATGAAAGGTGTTTAAACAAAAACGAGTTAGATATTCATTTCAACGTAAGTGTAATGGAAACCAAAATATAATTTGAATTGCATTTCAATTAGCTTGATATCAATTTTTCCTCAAAGTGATGTTTGCAAGACATTTGCTGCCTAACCTTCTTGTAACTCGGAAGATCATACTATATTGCAGATTTATGAGTATTTATGAGTCTATGAAATGGCTATTACCTCCTATAAGTTTATAATGGATTATAGTATCACAGGAAAAAATAATGTTAAAACACTTTATTATAAATAGAATAAAAGTAATACATTCTTTCACAACTAAAAAAACAAGTAGTATTGCATTGCTTTCAACATGTAAATAAAATTACGTTATTGACATTTCTGTAAAATTCTTTTTATGCTTCTATGAGTCACATAGAGTCATATAAAATCTAATTCTTCTTTTGTGTAAAATTAACAGTCAGAGTGAAGTAATTCCGTTGCTCAGTGAAGCATTAAAATCAAGTTATTGTAGTTGTCACATTTACTATTACTTGTATTACTTGTAAATTTACTGGATTTCGAAGTAGATTTGTTTCCATTTCTTCCATTATCTACTCTTCACGTTAGGTTAGCTGGACTTATGACAATACAGCTGAATTGACAGTGGATAAGCCCGGGAAATATTACCTGACAGTAATGGCATACAACCATGCTCTTGACCATAGTAAACCCGTATGCTCCGACGGTGTAACAATAGATGACACTCCAGCAGTTGTATCGGACGTTGTTATTCAAAATGCCGTTACAACTGAAGGGCTTGTCAAGAGTATGGCTGATTATACAGTGTACATTCTGTACAGAAACAGGGAACTGGTACAGGTTGAAAATCCTTCTGAAATTTGCAGGTAGCATTCTTCTTGCTTTTATGTGACTATGTAAAAAACAAGACTATTCAATTGAATGCTATCAAAATACATATAAGATCTTGACTATCTGCATTTTATGTCACGCCTCACTTTTCAGAGACCGTGCAATATCACTATCAGATATAACTTTAGGACTTTACCCGCATATAACACAACAAAATGGGACGAGAAGCAAAATAAAGCTGAATGAGAACTGTAATGACCTTTATGGTCCTCAGCCAGATCTCATTTCATTCATATCATCTGACTGTGTTGTAAGTTTACTTTAATTGTCGCTTTTCTTTTGATTATTTTCAAATATAGTCAATATGATAATTTAATCAAAATCAAGAAATTCATATTTCTATTTCAAGTCCAAATAAATAGCTCGTTTTATTTATATAAATGTTCAAAATGTATTTTTATTAATTATTTTTTTTAAAAGGTTTATCTCGTGTAGTATATAATAACGTAATTAAACAAGTACATGTACCATAAATGAATATCATTGAAAAAGTTATGCTTTAACAATGTTTTGTTTCTATTACAGGTTGATATATCATGGAATGTAACTATTGGTCCCAGTGGTCTGCATGATTATGAAGTTGGGATATCTTCTCAACATTCTGAGATACCAGATATAATGGGTTTTACGTCTTCTCATCAACATCAGCACATGCGTTTATTTCATCCAGATATTTTTGATGGTGAAATTTTCTATCTGTTAATCAAGTCTATAACTCAATCGTCAGTTATTGGCATTAAGGTAATTGGAACAAAATATTGTTCTGTCAAATATTAATCGCTTATACATATAATATATAATAAATAGGACCTGACGGAAAGTTTGTGATTCGACATGACTTTTTCTACAATGTTTCAGTTTGTTACGGTTTTATATACAGTTTACATACATCAAATGCACAGTCAAGGAATTGTTTTGTAATAAATACGTTAAATAGATAGAAATACACTCACGGTGTGTGGAGCTCCAAACTTCAACTTCAATATAAAAACACAATATGCGAAACAAGCAACAAAACTATTGCTGTTTTACTCCATTTACGAACTCGTTTTAAAATGCAAACCTGGCTCTCGGTTTTTTCATATTTCAATGCGGGGCTATGGTCGGAACAATCCGGGATATGCTGGTTCCAACATTCAAAGCGCACCGTATTTGAATTAAGTTTTATTCACATGTATGAGTATACATATTTTAAGTATATGTGCTGGGATTGAAAAATATACAATTTATTTGATTTTAACGCATGTGTAGCTCCACATTCCAAGTGCCTGGGTAAAATGTACTTCCATCTATTTAGCGTACTCATGAACCGTGGTATGTTATCCTTTTGGACTTACAGCTTCTTGCTATCCTGGCCTAGAAATCGACTCAATTCAAATACAAATTCCAGATTGTCAAAATCTTATTCAGTCCTACTAAAATTTCAGACAAATGCATTAATTATGTTGAAATACCAGAAGAGCGCCTATACAAATGTTCAAAACAAATTTAGCGGGCAAATTCCGAGATTCATTGATTATAATATGATATTTGTTAATCTTAGATAATCGGTCCATTATCATATGATTCATCAAAACCTGAATTTAAAGGAGAAATAACATTATCTACTGAACATACCCATAATGACACATTTCTAATAGCAAGATGGGATGTTGGCGCGTTTACTGATCATGGTGATCCACATGCTTTAACGTACGAAGCTGCAATAGGTAAATAAAGCCAATTTTATTTTACAAAAAAAAATTACAGGAATATTTTTCAAGATAAATCATAGTTTAAAATGGAATACTATTTGAACCGACACTTTTTTAATAATACAAACACACAAGTTTCCATATTCTTTGGTTCATTATAAAAATGAAAAATTCAAATAAGATACATGTGTAATGTAAAACATACATGTATAAACCATATGAAATAGCTGAATTATTAATCTATAATCTATAAGTTAGTTAAATGCGGCAACATTGAAAACTGTTACCGATTTTTTCTCGAAATAATGCGACTAAAACATGAAGTGGTTCACGCAAACTACGGGTTACGTCCGCTAGCACCGACTTTTCACAATTCCATCAGGAAAACGATTTGTGATCAATGAAATTAAAACAAAACAATAAACATAAGGAAAAAGGAATTGATTTTTTACATGAGAATAAATGATATCAGAAAAGCCAATTAAAATTGATTTCATCAGTTTAAAGATGACAGAATACATTTTACGTTTTGTTTATCATAATACTAGTAGTCAATGCTCATATTAATGTATGTTTAGGCACTTCGAAAAATGCACAAGATGTTCACCCATTTAGCATTTTATCTTTCGGTGGAAGTTGTTTACCATTTGAATCTCCTACGTGCACGGCATTCTCAACTCAAACATTTCGCTGGAACCTACATGATGATCAAAATTACTACGTAACAATCAAAGTTAAAGACACTGCAGGTCACTTTGTTACCGCTTCCTCTACAAAATACAGACATTACAGCCAATTACCATCTAGAGGGATTGTTAGAGACGTAGATGACACAGGAGTAAAGGTTAATGTGATCTTATGTTTATTTTATTTACGTTAAACGTCACATCTGGACTGTCAATTACATGCATACAACTTTCAAGCACAATAGATAATAATTTGAGACAGGAAACTTAGCATTACCAAGTTTCTAAATAATATTTTGGTTGTGTTTTACTTTGCACCTACACATTAAAAGCTTCTTTGCTCCCCCATTGGAATGATGATTGGTAAATGTTATTGCGCATAAATAAAAAAAACACGCTACTCGATGTGCAGAGAAATCTTAATTGATTTTCATCTTTAAAGATATTCTATGTCCAAATTTTGTATTTGAAAATACTGATTTTGCTATACAGTCTTTTTTAGAACGTTAAATAAGCAATATTGAGTTCACAGAGAAGATATGTACGTTTTTAACTTTACACGAATGCAATAAACAAGGTATGAAAACATTATGTCATTACAAACTGTAGCAGTTTACGAAAGGACAAAATTGACTTGACAAGCGATAGAAATTGCAGCTTCGCAAAACAGTTTGTGTACTTTCTTATTCAAATTAGACATATTTAGTAAGAATTTCAGTAAATTTCTGCAATACAAATATTTAAACGAAAGATGAGCATAGTAAATCTTAAAGTATACGTTTGGAGGCAAATCATGTGTCTTTTTTATTTTAGTTTATTGACATAGATGACATAGATTTTCAAACAAGTACATCGACGGTTACAGCACGATGGTCTGGCTTTAAGCATCCGCATGACGATATTAGATTTACTGTCTGCATTTCAAATGCTTTCAGTACTGACTTCATCAAATGTGAACAAACTACTTCAACTGATCAGTATACAATTTCTGGTCTAAATTTAACAGAGTATGAGGTAAATTGAATCATTGAGTCGATCATATTATGTTAGACGTCCTTTTCCATCTAGATTTTAAGGATATGAATCTGATGGTTTATTATTGTTAATATGTAATCGGATTATTCATACGATTATGAACATTTAAGTTAATTTCTTCTTATATTTTCTTTTTACAAAACAGTATTGAAAATGATTCTGAATTGATTTAATATAATGCGTTATATAAAATTTAAACACGAACAAGAAATATTTATTACAGAATCATTTTGTTAAATACAGTGAAATATTCATGTGTATTGATATGTATAACAACGTGTTCTCAGACTTATTACCAAACTGTGATAGCCGAAACAGAAGTTGGAAATATCACTGCTGTTTCTGACGGTATTACTGTTGTCATTGACGGAGATGGTATCCCCGGAATACAAATTTTTGATGGTCTGCCATGCGATAGTCCTTTAAATGAAGGTAGGTATGAGAAAATATGATCGCACATAAAGATGTTAGAATATATTACTTTGTTAGATCTACTTGATTTTCATTATATTTAAAAATGTATGCAATTAATATTATTATCACAAATATTACATATATGCATATCATAGTAATAATTCTTACATTATATTTTCATTTTTCATTTCAGATCTCAATCTGACGTTATCACACCATAATGAGGTTTGCACATTTTATTATTATTATTATCATTATCATAATCATAATGCATTTCGTATTCAAGAAGTAATGATTTGAAGTTCAACACAAACACAAATATATATATTTTTTTTCTACATCTATATATAACCGCAAATTTTTATATATGTTTTATAAATATTACATTTTTATTACTTTTTCTGGTTACTTTATGTTGATGATACCTTATGTTCTTTTCTAGACCTTTCATTTAGGGTATGAATATAATTATATAAACAGTCGGACTTAAATGTTGAAAGTTTCATTTGAACTCCTCAAATATGTTGTATTTCTTAAAATTGTCATTAATATCTCTCTAACAGGATAAACGTTTAGTATGTAAAAACGATATTGAATTTCAAGCGTCTACAAATGTACTTCAAGCCCACTGGACGATCCCTTCAGAAAAGAGGCATTATCTGAAAGACATAAATTGGTCAATAGAAGAAAGAGCGCCAGTCGCTGGTCAGTTTTATATTAGGAAATAATAGGAACACTTGAAGGAAGCATCTTATATCTAATTAAAATTAATGAATTGCGATTTACAAATTTATTTGACCGAATGAAAGGTCCGTATGTAAAGACGGACTTACTTTTCGTAGGCATGCGTTTTCTTTATCCAGATATGCCCAGCGTTAAACGAATGATTAAATATAATCTACAAGGACAGTTTACAAATATTTCATTATATCAATCTGCTCAATAATTATCTATAACTTTAACTGTTTTTTAAATAACATTTTATTTCGTTTAGATATTTGGAAAAGAATAACAGAGTTTCAGCATCTGCGAACAAATGCAACTCATCTGGAAATTAATGGTTTATTCCTATCTCCAGGAAGAAAATTTAGAATATCATTACAATTTTGTGCAAGACAGCATTGTTTCAAACCCGTGCACAGTGATGGGGTATTTGTAGTTCCTAATCCACCAGTAACCGATTTTTTGACGGTTGCACATGTAGAAGATACCAAGCAGGTGAATGTGAAATGTTGCTTTTATATAATTCGAAATTAAGTAATACCTAAACACCAAATTTTAAGTTTTAGACATTTTCATCATAAATCTAATCATACGTGTTCACAAGTAACAGACACAAAATCATGTAATAGTACAACATGGGGATATCTCCGTTTCAACGTTTTCAGATCCAGGTTTCGTTTGAAAAGTTCAGGGACTCGGATATATCTGATATATCTGAATATTACGATGTCATGGATCATTATGAATGGGCGTTTGCTGATGGAGCTGAAATTGGTCATCTTTTGACAAAATGGTCACGTATTTCAACAGCAGTAGAAACATCAAATAAAACGGTGAATGGATAAAATTAATACCGTTTTTAACTTTTAATTGAAAAAAATTCTGATATTACTGTCATTTTTATTAAAGTTATTTAACGAATAAATATAATTGATTATTTATTTGCTATATTTTATTTATTTGTATAATATCAAGTCGTTATTTAATCTAAATGGTATTGATATCAATGAAAATATGTTTGTGATATTACATTCTATCTGCACCTTTACTTTTCTTGGCAGCTTAACTTTACCATCAACTTAAATGGAGACGTTGCGTTTACGAAGTGTTGGTTCTTGACAGTAAGAGGATACACGAAAGTGGGTCTTTCGTCAACCGTTTCATCTTCAATCAAAGACTGCCAGGATGTTCAACAAATTCGTCCTAGTATAGTTAATGATGCTGTCGGAGACCCTCTTAGCATTGGTAATTGTTAGTCATCTAGGGATATATCAAATATTCTCTTGTTAACCTTCAGTATACAAATAGAACTTACATTGTATTTAGCGCATACAAATGCTATATGCGTAATAATGCCTTATGAAGAAGAAAAAATGTTTAAAAATAAAGTTAATAATTACGTAAAATAAAGAAAAACGTAATTCTAAAAGAACCTCAAAAACGAAAAAATTGAAAATGTTGCAGGCTCGGTTTGATTAAGCCTATTCATGGACGGTACTGGAAAGTGCAAGTTATCGTCCTTGCCCCCAGCATCGGCTTATAATAAGCAGAAACAATTTTCAAACATTGAAAAATATGTAAAATATGTACTGCAAATATTTGTACATATTATATGTAATCATTAAAATATATGCATTTATTTCTCATTGAAAAATTTGACCTGATAGAAAATAAATTTTTTATTACCCCTCCCTTTATTTACATGAAATTTTAAATTCAGTAATATCTTAATAAATAATGTTTTTTGGAACTTACAAAATTGATAAATCTTAATTTGAGCATCATATTTATGATATAAAACCATAAAAATGTGTTCCAGTATCTTCAACATATAGGCAACGTTTAGTTAATAGTGCGTGTTATGTAAGTGTTTGTTATAAAATATACTTTCCCTATGCATGATTGGTCATTATCAGTCTTCTTTCTAGAGAATGTTCATATTGGAAAGGACATTTACCTTGAAGAAAATAGTATTTGGGAGGCTCCAGACGAGGATTACACACCTTACACTAATATACTGTCAGCCGTCTGGCCAACCTTAAGGTTTGTTAATGGTAAAGCTTTCCCCTTTTGGTATATCTCATTGAGATACGCTTAACATTCTCTTTTTTAGATATCGCATTATTTCAAAAATCAAAATTTTGTTAATATAGCGATATTTCTAGATAAAAGATATAAATTTTAATCATTATTTGAGCATAAATACATATTAATAGTTATTTGTATTTATAATTAAGAGCTTAACAATTGACTAAAACAAAAACAGTTACATTATACATTTTATAATTATTTTACAAATTATTGATTAATAATTGAGTCCTCACTTTAATATGATCACCAGGGTGACACGGAAGTAAATATTTAAAGATGTTTACTGGCTGGTTGTGGACATAAACAATATATTTCTTTCGCAGGTATACTAAATATTATTGGGCTGTTCTCCTTGTAAAGGCGAATGACCCAACAGTATTTTACAAAAATATGGAAACTCTTGACTTGAAAGAACCCTGTTCTCATCCTGATGCAATAAAATGCGGCAATACAGGTATGTATCATTTTTTTCATTTTTTAACAATTTGGCAAACATTGCATCTTCATTGACAGAGTGAGTATTGTAATACAAGGACAGCTTTTGATTTTATTTCTTTATTCATTAATGCGTTTTGGAACAGAGTAATTTAACAGTTGCAGTTGAGTTTTATAGTACATGAATATAAATCACTTTAGAATTAAAGCGAGCGTTGTACTCAATACATTTTTATTCCTATATCAAATCATTGAAATTTCAGAACTCGACTATGTCAATGTCAATTTTGGTGATGGAACTCTTGTGCATGGGTATCGGTACATTATTTGTATTCATGCAAATAAAACAACTCTTCACCATGAATTTTGGGATCAAACACTTGATGAACTTAACGAGTGTAGTAATGGTATCACTGTTGATCTAACACCGCCAATACCCGCAGATGTCTGGATTGGAAGTGATAAAGAACACTTGTATCAGGTATGTTAAGTGTTTGTTTCAGTTACATACAAAACACATATTTATTTATTAGTTTTTTCATACGCTCGCATTCCACTAAATTTGAATAACCGTATTATTGATCAGTATCATAAGCATCATGAAATTTTGTTTGCTTATTTTGGCCACACCACATGTGATTATTTTTCTATGCTGGTACATTATCGAATATATAAAGGGATACCTTCTTCGTTATAGGAAATCATGTATCTCTTTTGGGCATGCAGCTTGCTACACACATGCACTGATTTAATTTATTTGTAGTACCAATAGCTGCTTTTACCAATTAATTCACAACCAAATTATGTCAAATGTGTCAAATAATTGTCTCATATTAAATGATCAGTCAGCAGTCTGAGACTGGTTCATTGATATACATCTACATATAAGATTATGTTGTTTTGAAAACAAGCTTAAACGATTTGTGCGCCCATATACACGAAGCTCTACCTGGCCAATAATTACCTATATATCCTCTGTTTGGCGGGTACCGAATCTCAAATCGGCTAAGAAAAAGCAAAAATACACTTTTGATATCTTAATTTAGAGTGATTCTTTTTCAGCTTCTCAATGAATATTTACCAGTTTATAAATATTACAGCTCATTTTTCGTCCGATTGCTAACATTTTTCTTCTTTTACTGATATTTGCAATATGAAGGGACGTGAGAAAATTAAACATCAAAGTTAGAGTAACTTTAAAACATTTAAGCAAAAATAATTTATAATATAAATCGGAAGTAGTTGGAGCTCTACATTCCGTTTGATAAGTTTTCTAGGTAGGAATAACATTGACGAATGAAACACTTAATATCCCTTCAGGAACAAGTTCCAAACTAATGCAGAAAAATCAGAATGTAGTTTTTCTTTCATAGGTTTACACCTAAAAAACGTTATTTCAGCGTTTGAAGTAATTGATTACAAACTAATTCTTGGTAAAAGTATTATGAAACTTCAACACTTTAGTTTTAGTGTGAAACAATATAAATTTACATAATAAATTAGAACACGAAATATTTCATTAAATTGTATATAACTATATAACTATATTGTCTATCAATTAGTTAGGATTCTCGTGAATTATCTGTTTTCTTTCAATAAGACCTCTACATCTGAAATATCGGCTCATTGGAACTCATTTACTGACGTGGAAGAGAAAGGATTTGCACCACATATAAGCGGAATCACACACTATGAAGCTGCTTTAGGTAACAGAACATGTACTTTGTTAAACTTATTGTAGCTAAGAACCTTAAACCTTTTTATCTTTTCAAATTTAGCTTGCATTTGTTTTTGAACTATACGTATTTAACATTCATTATGAAGTAAAAAAAAAACTTTTAAAATAATTACAATTTTCAGGTTCAAGTCCAGGAGGTGTTGATGTTCAAAGGTTTACACATGTTGGGCTGACAAATCATTACACTTTCCATAATCTAAAACTCCAAAACGGGCATACATATTTTGCAACTGTTAAAGGTTAAAATTTCCTTTCTTTTCTTTGTAAAAATATTATAAAATGAACATATTACAAATTATTTTGACATCTCTTAAGTAGTAAGTAACTCGAGAACGCGCAAGACGAATGTTTGAAACGCAATTGCAAACTTCTTATTTTATTTTAGCTCTATCTATATACTTTGTTTTCCTGTTTTATTTTATCTAACTAAAACATTCGTATGAACTTATTCAGAATATATATACTTTATGCATTTTGATCAAAAGGTTCATTCTTATATATGATAAATGTTGATGAATTTATTCAGAATAAACATACTTTATGCAATTTAATAAAAAAAATTCATTTTTATATATGATAAATGTTGATAAACTTATTCAGAATAAACATACTTTATGCAATTTGATAAAAAAAAATTCATTCTTATATATGATAAATGTTGATAAACTTATTCAGAATAAACATACTTTATGCAATTTGATAAAAAAAATTCATTCTTATATATGATAAATGTTGATAAACTTATTCAGAATAAACATACTTTATGCATTTTGATAAAAAAGATTCATTCTTATATACGATAAATGTTGAGCACCTTTCTGTATAATATGTTATTTAATCTTTTAGCCTATGACTTTACCGGACTGTTTTCAAGTTCCATATCAGAGGGTATAAAGGTTGATACAACACCTCCAAAAATAACGCAGGCATCAATCACATTACCAACAAGGCATATTACAAGTACAAACTTTGTTGAGGCATGGTTAGTATGCATAGTATGTCTATTTCAATATACCATAATATGAATAATGGTATGCGATCAAATAAGTTGCTTTTTTATTGATTGACATTAGCAGTGTTTATATTTATGTGTAAATTGGCTGACTAGGTATCCAATTGGTTTATGTGGTTCAGAGGGATGAAACAAATCTTTGGTTGTCCTGGTTTACACATGAGCACATATGGTTTTGTTTTTGATACTGTTTTAGCGATTTACCGAGTAATGTAATGAATAGGCGGAGCTAAATTTTTAACTTCATAAGACTGAAACGATTCATTAAACATAATTTATACTTCTAAAACTGTTTATCATTAAATTGAGTATTATCAATTTAATGGCTTAAAGGTAAAAATGCAAAAAGTTTAACAATGTTATATTTAAAAAGATATTAACAAAGGTAGTAGAACATATTCTAGATTTGTGATATTCTTTACGGAAGCATCAACGAAAGTACAAAATACACATTAACTATGATTTTTATGTTCATTAAGCAACATAAAATTAAGTGTAAAAGTTTAATGACATCCGTATTAACGTTTTACTAAAGCAAATAAAAACATGATAAGCTGCAAACTACCTTTATTACTTTAAATGCTTTAAAGACATGTAATATAACACCTTTGTATTTTATTTAGCTGGAAAGATGTGTTCATGGATTTAGAAAGTGGAATATCACATTACAGTTGGGCAATAGGAACACACACTGGCTATGATGATATTTTTCCATTTTGTAATACAGAAGAAGATTGTGCTAGTACACCTGAGAACACAAATATATCACTGAAAGAGGGTCATGCATATTTTGTTACTGTTAAGGTATATAAAGGTTTCCAGTGTACTATATTTAATGCTTTACCAGTATTTAATTAGAAGTACATTTTATGTGTTACACTTTTTTTCATAACAAAATATATGCTCGTGTTAATCGCAGGTTTGATTTATATCAACCAAATTCAACAAGAGTCTGTTTTATGTCATAATGACATTGGTTGATGCTTAATTAATAAGATTTATTTTCTTCAAAGTTCTTCTTCTTTATGTTTATAATACTGTTCAGACAGAACAATTTATATGTAATTGTATGGAATTAAAAATCGAAGGACAACACTCTCATGACATTAAATGACTAGTATCTGCTGAGAAAGGTCCCTAATGAACTTAATCTTTCCTTTCACATTACTATAGTTTTAAGTTTTGTTTGTTCTTCTTCTACTTAGGATGAAAGAACAATATACCATTTGTTTATATGTTTGTTTTGATTGGCCAATGTAATATTTTGGAAAAAAGAGCTATGATATTTTATCCTTCTATTTACACGCAAAGGCTTATAATAAAGCAGGCCTTTTTACGTCATCATCGTCCTGGGCGTTTGTTGTCGACTTATCACCACCTATTCAAGGAGCGGTTTATGATGGTCCCCTATCGGTAACAGGACAAAATGTTGATGTAGATTATATAAGCAATAATGCAACATTACATGCCAGCTGGAAAGGTTTCCATGACCCTCATACCACATTAGAAGAGTATTTTGTGAACATAGGATCTTGTAAACATTGTGCAGATGTTTTAGTTAAGCAGCCAATTGGAATAAGAACAGGTATTTTATTATCACTGTACTAGTGTCAATGTTTTCACTATTCGGTTTTTGCAAATTGAGCATTTTGTACATTTTACTTTTAGTTAATGCTAAGATCAAATTGAAAAAGAAAGTATTCCGTGAATACTCATTCAGTTATTGTGTTTTCTATCAAAAGAAGTTTATTTTGCAGACATTGAGTTAACTTCCCTGCAATTATCAGAAGGATTCCATTATTTTGTGACTGTGACTGCATGCAACACAGCAAAACTATGTTCGGATGCATCATCTGACGGATTTATTGTTGATTCAACTCCTCCATTAAAGGGGGTTGTCAATGATGGTATCCTTGATAATGATATACAGTATCAATCATCAAGGTAGTTGTTTTACACTTCTAGTAAGTAATTCAGATTAATTTTTACACAAATTATGTTCTGCTGTCTAAGTTTACATGAAAAGAGACCACTTTTTTTCTAAAAAATAATTTGCTATATTTGTGTGTATTTATATTAAGATATGATAAATATGTTTTAACTTTATACGTCCATACATATCTTTGCAATTTTATTTTTATCAACCAGGAACTACATAGGGTGTAAATGGTATGGCTTTACAGATCCTCAATCTGGCATATCTCATTATGTTTGGCGAGTAGGTACAACAAGAGGTGGTGACAATATTCTGGCTGCCACTGAAGTTCATAAACACGAGTTGGCATTTATATTTGATCTTCATTCTGAATACAGCATATATCTGCCAGAAAATGGAACTCGAATCTACTGTACTATTCGTGCTTATAACCACGCAGGTGGTATATTTCATTCAATGAACTTATAAAATATTCTTGAAACTGACTGAATTTCAATTAGAATAGTAAACATATACATAATAATTTTGTCGATATCCGTGCTTATGCCTTTAAAATACAAAGTGTTTTTATAGATAGTACACAAAGAGAATTTAGTGTCAATGAATTACGTTAGTCTCATTATACTTAGGAATTTGTGTTACCGATTTTTATTAACTTTGACGGACGTATATCATTTCAGGAAAGTTTGTAGAAGCATCCTCAAATGGATTCATTATTGATGACACACCACCGAATTTTACTGCTAATTTATCAATGTCACCAATAGGAACAATAAAAGATGGAACAACAATCTTAAGAACAACTATGAAAGTTCACTGGGGCGTCGAAGATAACGAGTCATTTATAGAAAAGCAATACCTATCCATTTCTTCGCATCTTGGAGGAGATTTTAATCTTTCATCAACTAGAGTGAGTTCGTAATTCATTTGAGAAAATGCCTTGATAGATGTTGAAATTATCCTAGAGAAATTTATTCCTTTTAAAGTGAAAATTCCACTTATTGAAGGTATGCAATACCATAAATAATTATGTTTATAGTATTAAGTATCAAACGTGCCAACAAATCACGAAAGAATTATATTATGGGTATTGTTGCGGTAACCAATATTACATTTCTATATATAGGAGATACTTATATTCTGGAAAAAAATATTTTATTCATCATATTATATTTGTTCATACTAAATTGTTTAGAAATAGACCAGCATTTATAATTTGTAAGAACATGCAAATGATACATTTATGTGTTTAATCAATGATTGAGACAAATTCGTTTTGAAACGTTCAAGTCGTGTCACGTTTGCTTTTCATAGATATTGGTCACTTCATAGCAATGTAGTATTTGATTACTGTGACTTTTGCTAAATAAATTTACAAATGACTTTTGTTGATCTTTCGAAAGCCATTGATGTTACAGTATCAACAACAATATTAAATGTAAAATAATAGTCTATATTGAGATATTTTGATGGTTTTATATGATTTATTTTGTATAATAAATATTTTACAGGTCGAGGGCATAGTCAGAGATTATATATTTACAGGCTTGGACTTTCATGACGGAAGTTATTATGATATTAAACTTATATCATGCAATGGAGCAAGGCTTTGTACCGAATCATTTTTAGAGAATATTTTAGTTGATAGTACCGCACCAACAACAGGTATATATGTCATGATTCTTTATGAAATTACAAATGTTTTCTGGTAATGTTTTCTGACAAAAGTGTTTGTCCTGTTTTGAAATTTTTAAGGAATTTTCGCAGTAACTTGATCCAAAGTAACATATAAATACTTTTTGTATAAAATGCCTTTATTATCCCTCCCTGTTTGCCATTTTTAGGGTAATTCCAAATATTCTGTGGGCCTAAGATGAGATAAAAAATCTCTCAAAACTCGCATCACCCTTAAGTAAACTGATAAAACCTTTTTGATATTTGTGCTTAAGTAATGGTTTTCTTAGACATAATCAAATAGTTTCCTCTATATATTTATAAAAAATCCACTCACTCTAGTTTTCTTCTTGTACAATAATATGATAATTTTATTTTGCTTGTTTCCATTTAATGTTCAGTTATCTGTATTGAATAATGACCGCAAATATACTAGCTTGCTTCTTTTGTTAAGTGAGCTATTGTAAAAATTTGAAACACTATACATGCATGCATATGTAAATGATTAAATTGACTTAAAAGATCATAATAAGAGACATGTAGACGCAAAATATCATAATAAAATAGGAAACGTCAGTTACTATTTCTACAAAATCAAAAATGTTCCATTCGTTCTAAATACATGTAATGTTACGGAATCAGTATTTTATCATTATAAGGGACGTTTGCAATCAACACTGACCACGCTGCAGCTTTATCTCGCCAACCAGAAGATTGGATGACATGGACTCCGATATATGTCAATCTTGCTTGGCTTGGTTTTGAAGACATTCATTCTAATATTGATACATACTGTGTAAATATCGGCAGCCAGTATATGGGAAGCGATCTGAATGAGGTTAGTGTTCTAAGTTTGTTAACTTTTCTTTCTTTCATTGTTTTTCGGAATTATTCCAAACCATTTATATTCTATAAATAAATTTTACACGAATATCAAGAGAACTAGTTAAAAGTACTCGAAACTCATCGTTCAGTTAGGTGATCAACTTGGTAATTATTGAGTAAAGCAGCTATTGTCTTAAACTTAGTCTAGTGTGTAAATGTAAAATAAAACAATAATGTTTGTGTTGCTTATGTCACATTTGTTCTTTCATAACACATATATATTGTTAACATATAGGAACCAAACACTCCGATGATCGTCACACATGATACAAATTCTTCCTTTCACGAAGATGGAAAAGTTCAAACATTCAAATTTCAAACGCAAAGACTTAAGGAAAACATGGCAGTTTTTATCAGTGTCACAGCTGAAAATAAAGTAGGCTGTTATGTTTTATTGTGGTATTGACAAAAAAGCTAGTTTTTTTGCCTTGAATGGTTCAGGACTAGCAGAGTGAATGTGAGGATCGTTTATTGTATAGTCACAATAATGAACTTACTATTATAACATAAAATGAACGCTAAAATTTAAATTACAATCATTATATTAATCAAGTTTGCAATACCTCAATTATATACTTTAACACTCTTAATGCGATAAATATATATAATGTTAAAAATATTTATTTTCATATTTTTCTGATTGCAAACATACATATTCCCGAGTAAATAACTGCATATATGCATGAATATTCAATATCTTGATAACTTTACTGTATAAATTGGACAGAGTTGACTGTTTTAGGTGGGGCTTTCAAGTAAAATAGCTCATTCCCAGTTTAATCTTCGTTATGGAGGCACGATGCAATTGGTACGTAGATGTGGTAGCTATTCATGTAAAGGTCATTGTGTATGTGCCCCACATGGTAGCCTGTGTCACAGTGAACAGTACTGTAGCGACTTGAATATCTCAGGTAAAGTAGTAAAATTAGTTGTTGTTTTTTTTATTTTGACGTGACATTTTTTTTCAGAAAATATGTTCTGGATATACGACAGAAAATTTGATAAAATTGTATTGTTTGGTAATGTTTAATGATATAATATTTACGAGTATAATCATGATGCTCAAACTATTATACCTGTTATTTCTAATATCAAAACAAATAAAAATAATGATACAAACATTCTGAAATTCCAGATTTTGTAAGTTAATTGAAAGAAAACGAGCATGGATACGTTTTTGCTAATAACGATGTGAAATGAGTTCAATGTTTCACAGGACAGTCGAACGTAATAATCAGAACAACAACGTTTTTCATTTGAAAATATGTATGTGAATATTGATGATTTTTTTATAGCTGAGGTTTGGGATTACTTTCAGATAACAATAATGCAATAATTGAGGTCAAGGACTATCTTGATCTTCGATTTCCTGACAATTACATTCAGCCGGATCATACTCCTATCAACACTATGCTTGCTGCAAAATGGCATATTAAAACAACTCAAGGAATAAGTCCTTTGTGGTGAGTTACTACTTAACATTTTATATCAAAATATAATATTCTAAGTGACATAACTTTATATACGTATTTATACGCACTTATTGATTTGTTTCACAGGTGAAACTATGAAGTAGTTTAACGTATCATATAATATCAAAATCAAACACTTGTAATCATTCAAGAATACTTTATCTGTAATGATATTCTTATCGTAAAGGTATGAGTGGAGTATAGGCGAAAGTATCTACGACACTCCAATTGGTGTATTTGATACAGCAACAGAAAAGGTTTGGCATGATGCTGGTCAACAAACTACATGCATCTTTACTGTCGATAGAGGTAAATTATTTTAATAATTGTACATACATTCTTGTCAGAAAAAATCATTGATTTCGATAAAAAAAACAAAGAAAGAATCACGTGTTTTTGTAGTATTAAGCATTTTTGTATAACAATAAGGGGGAAATAATTATTCAAAATAAATAAAAAAAGCAATTTTGAAATAATATTTAATTGGTACATAACATGCATCTCATAATATTGGCACAAAAACAAAATGATATACATTTTTGTTAATTAACATAAATGAAGGAATAAAAAGTTAACTGATTTGCTATGAAAGAAATATGTATAATAGGTGCACATAATGACTTATTTTCAATTCATAACCAAACAAATGACGCCATAGAATACGGTGCCGTTATAATGATAAACAAATTGTTCCCATTTATATGATCTAAGGAAAGGATCTTACGCTTATACATTCAAGCCAAGTATGCAAATTTTTAACTTTAACTGTGCTGTGATAGTAATGTTTAAAACAACAGTTAAGTCATACTTTTGTAGTTTCTACTGAGACAAATAGATAAGAGTATGAATGATTGTGTTTCAGACAAAGATATCCTAACAGAACAACGGACTTACTCTGTTTTTGTGCGTGCCTGGTATAGCAGTGATACATATGCCATATTTAAAAGCAAAGGAGTTACCATATTTCACTCGCCGCCCTTATCAATCGTCATAAAGGGCAGACGTGTAAAAGAAGTCCCCCCATACAAAGGGAACCCCTCCAAAAAAAGGATAATTGATTTTTTACTAAAAAAGAAAAAAAAAAAAAAAAAAAAAACAATCGCATGTCTATGCTGATTGGTCGGGAAAGTTTGGAGGCATCGTATCTAAATATCATGTGTACATTAGTACCATTCCAGGCGGTATATTTGATTTTCTATCTTCATATCCATTTGAAAATAGCTTTTGATTTTAATCATATTTTCAATTGCGGTAAATACCTAGTGTACTTGTTCGACGAGTATATATTTATGGTGATTTTATTTAAGATTTGTTCCCTTAATGAACTCGTAGACTTGTATAAAATATTGCAACATTTTATGAAGTTATATGCATATACAACATGTATTTGTGTTTTTTACATTTGATACAAATATTATATTGTTACAATTTAGGTCATGATCTACACAAAATATCAGAAGATTTGGTAAACACAGTTACGAATGTCAATATTACCGGCCTGAATTATGAAGAAAATACTAAATACTTCACAGTTGTTCAAGCTTTTAATCCAGTCGGGCTACATACTATTTCAGTATCTGATGGTTTCATGTTGGATATAGATCCACCAACAAGTGGGATTGTAATGGACGGGCTTTGTAAATAGAACTATTTTGCTATCAATATCAATGCTTCATGACTGTTTAATAAGCCATTATCATCTATTTTATCCAAATTTTGTTTTGTGATTATAATTACTAAAATACGAACATTCATTTTTGAATAAATATTAAATCGCAAAATATGAGCTTAAATTACCTCTGATCTTCATTGCTGCAGAAATCCCGTTAACATTTTTATTCATTATTTAACAGTTCTAGTAGATAAACATGCCTCACCTAATTCAAGCTATGTTCAAAGTTTTTGGCATGGTTTCTCGGACATTGGTTCTGGTATAAAGACATACGAATATTGCGTGTCATCTGGTGTTGAAGAGGGAACATGTGATATTCAACCGCTTTCTGAAGTTGGTATTGCTAATCGTATTCAGATTACTCCAAAAGCCAGTCTTGTACATGGTACGACATTTATTGTATCATAATGATAAACAAACGAAGTGATTTTTTATAACAGTATGTCGGAAAGTTAAATCAATAAAACGCATATTTCGTTAAAGTTTCCTTCGCATGATGATGATATTGATTTATTAAATTTACTCTTGGTTACTTAAATATCATTATTACTTTATTCAAACGCTCATAAAAATATTTTCCTTAACGTTTGCTCAAAGTATGAAGAAAAAAAGCGTTATTGAATAATGTTATCAAGTTGTACTTGTAGTTTGCTTTTTGAACTTGTACTTTTTATTTATTTTCAGTAAGGCTTATTAGACAGCAAAGAATTCATTTTACATTCATACTAATATATGTTTTGAAAGTTTTAATATATATATGTAAAAATTGTTATTGTTTGTCCATGTTAGGTTCATTTGTAAGAGGAGAGGTCAGAGCTCGTGATGTTATTGGACATACTTCCAAGCTTGTCTCTTCAAATGGTCTTATAATTGACAGTACTCCACCGATTCGTGTAAAAAGTGAATTGTGTCAACCGAATATTTTATTTAGTTCATTTTTTGAAGAAAGCGATGACATGAAAATTAATGATACAGTGTGTGAAAATATTTCAAGTTCAGACTGGATGTTGTTACCCGGAACATGTGTGTCATTAGTTGACACTGTTTCATCTATTCATGGGCGAACAGTTTTGCATATTCAAGGTTCAATTTTCCAAACATTACAAAGCGAATTACATGGTAAATACAGACTTATATTTCATACATCAACTATACCTTCAAGCAATTTATATCACTCTGCCCTTGAAGGTTATGTACAGATAAACGGACAAAGATACATTTTCTTAGTGTACAACAAGCATAATAAAGGAACTTACGAATGGCAAAAGCATATTTTCTTTTTTACCGTTGACACTAATAATACGCTGTTCGAGATCGGAACAGCTATGAGTACCTCTGTGTTTGCTATAGATGATATACAGTTTCAGCTTTGTGAGACTACAAATCAGGAAGAACAAGATGCAGTTGGTCATGTTGATGTTCATACAGTATTTGTTCACGATTGGTCATCAATTCACGCAGAATGGTCTTTTGTAGACCCCGAGACTGATATAATCGAGTACCTTTGGGCCATAGGTAATATTAACTTCCAGCAATTGCTATAAGAATACAGTGTACGTACGAAACAAATGTTATTTTTGCATCCGGGGTCCAAAGGAAATGTTTTTGCACACTAGTTTCTGTTGAATTGCATGTAATTGAAGCCATTGGTATTACTTGTACAACTGTATAAGTTATGACTGTGTTAATTAAAAGACAAATTACAATAACACTAACTCAAGCTTTTCATACGGCAGTTGATAGTTAACAATGAAAACAACTTTTGGATACGTACATGATAGTTTAAGAAATATTTTAAAGACTTTATTTAAAGCACCATTTATCTATAAAAACAATTCAATTTCTAGTCTGATTTTGTTTGCAAAGTTTTTCAAGCAACAAAACAATGTACGTTTTGTGTGGAATATTAAAAAAGTTCGCAAATTTGAAAAAATTATTTTATTAGGGTTTGATATAACCTGATACATATATCGTATCTAGATTCTCAAATTAAAATATACTTAATATGTGTATAGGAATTCTATTCGTTTAAGTTCATTCTGTTGCTTTTGAACATTTCTGTATACATACATATATTTGTTATAAGGGACGGTGCGAGGAGGAACTCAGTTACAGACGTTCCTTGAGTGTAGGACGACAGTCGTTTGCAAGAAATTACAGTTTAAGACTCGAGCACAATACTATGGTTTATATAACAGTTGTAGCCGTAAATACTGCTGGACTACGCACAGTTAGCTACTCCGAACCTATCCTTATCGATCTTACACCGCCAACATGTAATTATGTGTATGATGGATCTATTTTTGGTAAGTCGTTTGAAAATCACTTGAAGATCATTTATGTTCATGCACTTTATACTGAATATAGTAAAGAAACTCCACTTAAGTTTTTTGACATGACCGGACTGGAAATATTTTCCAAGATTTGTAAACCATTTGATAAAAGTCTGAACCAATAAATTGTGTGCAGATCTTAAGATCATCCTTTAAACGCAGCTATATGTTGTGAATAGCCTGAAGAAAATATGTTACTGTCTGGTATTTAGATTTCAAAGGACATGTCTCTTTGTTATTAATGATCTGATCTTTTCTGTTATCGACATTAGGCCAAGACCTTGATTACATCAGTGGAGGTTACCTGGAATTTCACTGGGATATTTATGATGAAGAGTCTGGTCTTAATGCATGCAGCTGGGCAATAGGTAATGGATGTTTACATTTTTTCTCAACTTGTCATGATTGCTTGGCTGTCTTCATGAGGCTATCACGTTGTATAAATTTACTTTTTAGATATTAGAAATTTGTAACTTACGAGAAATACTTATTTTCATGCAAGTTTACAACAACAAAAAAATGAAATTTTCAGCTATAGTACTACATGTCTTTTAATAGCATCTTAAGCCAATTATTATTAAGAAAACTTTACGTCAATTGAACCAGACCAGAAGACGGCAACTAAACTGTTTGAAGAAATTCCTGATGAAAAGGTTTACATAACTGTCCGTTGTACAAATGGTGCCGATGTTACTCACACATGTCATTCTGATGGTGTTAAACTGTTACACTCAACACCGTCCATTGATGGCGTTATCTTGGAACTGTTAACCACCTCACAAACGCAGTACATGCCGCGTGAAAGATACCATGGCAACAACACAGAAATTCGTTTCCGATGGACAGGATTTGATCCTGATGAAGGTGTTCAAAGCTATATGGTATGAGTAACTTAGTAGTATTTACCTGTTGGAAACATAATACATGATTTGCTTTTGTGGATTTGTTTAAACGCCGATTTAAACTTAGTTTTGTTCATAATTTGCAAGTTGATACACCTAACCGGCTCGGCTTTTTGGGTAACTAACCAGTTATTTTCATTTTCTTCGTAACAGACCGATCTATTTACCCAGTATAATTTCTGAATCATCATTGAGAGACAATTGATCATTAGACTTCAGTATGAAGATATAGTTGTCACACAATGATTATACACAAAACTAATCTCATTCTTTGTAATGGGTATATGGAATGACAAAAAAGCTCTAACAATTTGTTGTAATAATTTCTAGTGTCTTGCTTAAAAAACCCTATGTTTTCAGATATCTCTTGACGGAGATGAAGTATCAATGTCAGAAATCATAGACGGGTCAGCGTCTGGATACAGTTATGCAAGTTTTACAGGCCTTAACTTGACTGATGGAGAGTATTCTATCTCTATAACTGGTATAAATGAAGTAAAGATGTACAGCCAGAGAATATCCGACAAATTCGTGTTGGTCACACAACCGCCAAGCCTTACAGGTAACAATATTTGCTGATGCAAGTCATAATTATATATAAGTAATATATAAGTAATCTCTTTTTGAATTTGGTGTTTAATGTTTGAATTTTAATCGTTACTTCTAATTGATAGATATGGATGTATTGTTTCCATTTCACTGCATGTATAGGTTAAATGCACCGTAACCTGCTGTAACTGAAAAATGGTTAACCTTTGAAACCAGATATTAACAAGGCCAATGTGATTAAGCAGTATAGATTGCACGCCTCCAGATTTATGTTCATTTTCATGAAACTTTTGGAAATATATTTAAAAGTAAAATATTTTGAGGTGAACAAATAAAGTAATTTACATTTTGCAATCGGCACTTACAATCCACGAAAATTAACAGAAATGGTCAAGCTATGCAAAAACAGCCCTTACTGCGTTTGTAACGCAGTAGAAATATGGTGGTAAAATACTGCAAAGTCAGTTTTAAACCGCACATAACATAATATGTTAAATATAACTTGGATCTTGAATGTTTTAACTTTCTTAAAAGTTTAGTGCATTTTTCTCAATATTGATTTTCTTGAAGCATTTTGGCTCATCTGGACGTGTGCAGCTTTAATTTTGCATTTTAATATTGAAATATTGAGTTAATTTTCAAACGGACTTTTAAATCTAAAGCAAAGCCATGCAAATACACAAATGTGAATTTGCTAAAACTTATTTTCATCCAAATAACATAACATTTTTTTCATTGTATTTTCATCTAATTTTGTGATTTCACATTAAATTTTCTTACTTCTTCTTTAAGACCTAATAATGTATCAATTTCCGAATAATTTGAAGAGCTACACTGCCACTTTGTGTTTGAGATAGAAATTTAATTTCACTATAGTGTACTATTTCATGCGAGTAATGGTACCAAATACTAAATTACGTATGCAAGGTCACCTTTCTCTGAGTTGAACTGAATAAAAAATAATTGAAATTGTAAAATCTCTAGGAACTAATCTTTTCCGATAAAATAAACTAAGTCTTCTTTTTTTAATACCATACAACACATTTTTTACCAGGCGCTCCGATCAGAACAGTCTGGACAAAAGGAACATCTACCGTTAAAGCATCTTGGGAGAACGTGTTTTTGTCAGCGGATCCTTTATACTACGAAGTGTCAGTAAGACTGGCAGAAGGTGGAGAAGGAGATCTTGTTCAGTGGCAAGAAACGGTTGAAACACAAATAGAATTTGTTATTGATACAAGTGGAAAGCCTGCTTCTGGTTTTACTATTCGTTTTACTGTGAGGGCAATATCATATGTCGGATTGTTTGCACTTAAACATGATACTTTATTTGTACTGCCTTGAATAAAATAGTGTTTATACTTGCAGAACAACTTTTCTAACAGTTTTTGCATGATTTATCATTATGTGGAACTTCAAACAATGAATTTTACCTTGATCTTATTATTTATGTATGTACATGTATACACTGGATATTTATATGATTTCATAAATTAGTGCAAGTGTTGAAGCGAAAAAGAAAATGCTTTTAAGTGTTGTATTCCTGTTAATTTTAAATATGTACTAACAGATATAAAATAATACATTATGGCTAGTTTTATTTAATTTATATATGGTACTAACTCTATAATTATATGCACATATTTCATGAAAATGTTCGTGAGGACAATAATACATGTTTTCATACAATGGAGAAAACAACACAACTGTGAGATATTTTAATTACAGAACAACTGAAAGCAACTGAACTTCCAAAGTCTGATAAATATTACATAAAAGAACCAACAGATGAAGAAGCCATAATCTAGATATTAAAAAAAAACGTGGATTGATAACGTCGTTTTCTTAGTTATTAACACTTCTAATTGAAAACTGTAAGTATCCTGTAACTCAATTTTTTATGGTTTTATATAAAAAAAATATAATGCGCAAATGAAGATTTATCAATATTGTAAGTTCCAAAAAGCATTATTTGTAAAGAAATTACCGAATTTACATTTCATGAACTAATAAATAAAGCGAGGTAATTAGAAATTCATTTTCTATAACGTCTCAGTCAAATTTTTCAATAAGAAATGAATGCATATATTTTAATGATTAAATATAATGTGGAAAAATATTTACAGTATATATTTTACATATTCTTCGATGTTTGAAAATTGTTTTAGAAGCGTATATACACATATATACATAAATTTTCACTTAAGTGTGGTTACAACCTTAATTACAACATACAGGATCTTTAATCATATTCATAGTCATAATGAAATAAAACCACAAAAAATGTGAATTTAATTTACTCAATTGTATAACATTTTGAACAGTTATTTAATATAGAAAGATAAAAATCCATAAAAAATTATTGACTGACAAGTACTGTTTGTCACTTTCGAAAAAAGATGTTATTACAGTCAATAAGTTTCTTTCATTGCAAAAAATAATTCAATTTACATTTTTTGTCTTCAAATATTTAAGTGAAATGACATAAATATTAAATTTCTTCTAAATATAATATATATAAAATGATTGTACTTCATTAAAGGAATTAAAAAAGTAAAACAATACATAGAACGAATATGAAGAATATGAAAAAGAATTAAACTTCCAAAACCAGTTAGTATAAATAGTAACAAATAAAGCACAAAGTAAATTACAAAGAAGAAAAATATGTCCATTCAAGTTGAAAATTTTCACTTTAAACATAAATCCAAATAAAGCATTTTTATGACATTTTAATATTTTTGTTGTTGTTGTTGTTGTTGTTGCTCCTATATCATTTAGATTGTCCCTAAATTGTCCCTTTGATGGATATGTTAATTCTGTTAAAGTACCAGTATTTTCTTCAACAACATTCATGTCTAAAGAGTATAGACTGAAATGTAAAATTGTATGTCTGGTAGTGATATGTCAAATATATATATATGTATATTATAATCTCTCAATTAGCGCCAGTTTATTTAAATACAAAATACGAGTGTCTTAATATTATTAATTACATTGAGAAAAAATGCATTTGATTTTACATTAGATGGCATAAATATACATTTAAATGTTTAAAAACGCACGTATCTCTTTGGCCCCTAAATCTACATCATTTTGCACCACCTAGACGACACTTTCTCATTTTTGTTTTGTTGTGAAATAAAGCCATATATGACGCAAACAAACAAAAATAATTTAGGTAAATTACTTTTAGCTGAAAACATGTTATATTTTCTGCATTATCATGTAAAAGTCCACGATTCAACGTGTCAAACCTTCGTGATTTCTTTTCTGCACACTTATAGAACGATATAATTTTATACGACATTTAAACGAAACAAATCGAGAACATAAACATGTACATTGTTTATGTGTACACAAAAGATATTAATTTGAAAGTTGTATTGTCTAAAAAAAATAGCCCGGTCGAGTGCGAAAAAATAAAATCATCAAGCTGTTACAAGCTGTTGAGAGAAGAGAACAAAAAAGGTCAATGTCATGTGGGCATCTGGCGGCCAAGCTTCTTGGGCTAGCACCATGTATCTTGTATTGCCTCCACTCAGCTAATGCACTGGCTAATTAGCAACGAAATCTGACCTTTGAGTAGCTGACAGCTAGTGAGCTAAGCAAGATGATGCTTTGATGTTTTATACACACAAACAAATGTGAACGCTGAATTTTATAACTGCATATCGTATTTTCGGCGCTGGTGATGACGTACATAGTGTTGCAGTGATGACAGAAATCTTAAATATAATTACTTTACAGTTTGGTTATAGGTTAGTATATTTACATTACGCAAATATGGTTAATTTATGATCAGTGCTATAGATTTGGGATACTATCTGGTTATTTTGAACTCGTTTCCCCATTTCATATTTTTCTATGAGCGGTTTTATGTTTTTGAAAATTCGTGAAAATGGTTCTTAATTGTTCAAAATATCTCTTTTGAAATGAATAGAGGGATATCGTGTTATATACATCATTTAGCGTCACACTTGCCACATATCAATCCAATGAATGTTACAGGCATTCAAACCTGCCATCCCGGATGGAAAATGCTGCCGTGATGTTATAGGCAGAAATTCTCGAGGCATCCGATGATGGTTCTGAAATTTAAGACAGAAAATCAAAATCACCCTCAAGTTATAGGTATAGACCTTTTTACAATACTATTTTTCCACAGCAATCGATGTTGCATTCCGCGCATGCGCATTCTGTGTAGGGCAAGAGCGCAATAAAGATATACTACATTTTGCGTTGTTGAAGGTTTTTAAAGACGTGATTTTAAGTTATGACACATAGAAACCAGAAAACGTGAATTGATATTTATAATAGATATACAAAATTAGCGGGACTAATAATTCAATGACCAAAAGTCCCCTGTTCAAGTTATCATTAAATGACTTTTTCATCAGTAATTTAAACTGAAACAGCAGGGTGTTAAGGATAAATTTAATACCGATGTATTACATAATATTACACAATTGGTATTCCTTTTAAAGTGGGTCTGCAAGGCAGTAAGAGTCAAACAGATTGAAAGTGACCGGCTGTTATTTGCCAGCTAGTCTACAATATCATTCAACCGGGACGTTTTAGTACCATGGCATAGTTAATCACTTAAAATTATGAAAATCGCAATTTAAGTTACTTTTATTTATACCAATCGCATCAATATTTATTCATTTTGTGAACAACAGCGTATGAATTACAACTTTATTCATAACGGTAAAATGACGTCATCCTAAGCGTGCCATTGTACAGTATGCGACTCATCGGGCACCCCCAATGCCAGATGAAATTTCCGGCATGGGTAAAACTCACGGAAACGCCAGTCTGATATGCAAGAAACCTCGAACTTGCTATAAATGACACTAAATTAGAAAACGTAACAAGTCAAAATATTCTCGGGATTTGTGTTGATAGTAATTTAACATGGCATACTCAAGTTCATAATGTAATAAAAAAAACTCAATTCTAAAATTGCACTTTTAAAAAGAATTTCATATTTTTTGACAGATGATATGAAAATGTTATACTATAATGCATATATTGTGTCAACAATGGACTACTGCAATACTATATGGGGACAAAACTGCAAATCGGATACCGAAAAAATATACAACATACAAAAGAGGGCACTTCGAGTAATTCTGAAACAGCATGTAACAAAAAGTGTATTCAAAACCCAAAATCTGCTTACTTTTGAAAACAGATGCAATTACCACATGGCCTTACTGGTTTTTAAAAGTGAACATAATCTGGCACCAAAATATATATCTGAACTACTAGTTTTTTCTAATAATGATAGATATAATCTTCGCTCTTCAGCAAATAATAATCTTATTCACTTCAGGCCACGGACAAATTATATGATACAAACATTTACATTCAAAGCGGCACATTTATGGAATACATTTCCAACTGAAATAAAACTACAAAGTAAATTGTCATCTTTTAAGGGTAAACTAAAGGATTATTTAATAAATAAAAAAAAGCTTAAAGCGCTAAAAACTTTAAACTGGTTTTTAACAGAAATTTATATAGGTCTCTATAATGCTTTGTTTGTTTAATGATTGTATGTGCATACGAAGTTATATACTAATTTCCATAACTTATTATTTATAATCCACAAAGATGCTATATGTATTTTGTAAGAGTACTAGTGTTTGTCGTAATATTATATTGCTGTTTATTGTTATCTCTGTTTTCTGTTTATATACATGTATGTATAGAAGGCCGTATTGGAAATAAGATATACTCTTATAATATGTCACCTTATCAAAATAAAGTTATTAATTATTATTATTGTTATTATTATTATGTAAACAGGCTAATAAAGTCCTGGGACAAGTTTCTTAAAGCTCTGTTAAATTTAACCGTTCGTTAAATTTACTAACGGACGGTTAAATTTAACAGAGCTTTAAGAAACAGCCCTTTGACAAAAAATTAAATATGTATACCTGGAAATGTGAAATTTCTTGGTAATTAAGGGTGACATAAGCACAGATCGAATGAATGCAGACCTTAATTTTGGTAGCTTATATTATAAACTCGTACAATTATTTTACATTTTGGGACAAAATATACATATTACAACAATATCTGCTGACGTCTTCCTCTACCAATCTAGTAAAGAGTTAATAATTGCGGTTTGGGTACTCTATACTGCCTTTTGACAGCTTGCCTGTGATATGCGGACTCCATAACTTTGGATCCCCTTTCAAAGTTACAATTTATTTGGTTTCACTTAAACTTCTGTTTCTGTAATTTTCAATTATTGAATAGGCGAATACGTATGCAACAAAATCGGACCAACGGCTCACGCTGGACTCCAGAAAATGGTGTTGTTTGTTTGTTGTTGTTGTTTCAAATACAATCTAGATAGTGTACGTATACTGGAGTATAATTATAGGCCTATGTGGAATTCATGTATGTGTGAGCAGAGATAATGAATCGATATCCAGTTATGTCATGTTTTCGTTTTCAAGCTATAGATCTACCTGGGACTTATTTCATAAAATAAATTATGTCTCAGGTTATTCCCTAATACTATTTTCATTTCGCTGACTTATGTAATCAACCCATTGCTAACCTTGTAATAATATGTTAGTCTGACCTTATGTAAATCGCAACTTCTCGGCCCTTTCCGTCAAACTTCGGATCATTAGATTTGTTTGGTCACATGACAAGACAGCAACACTTCAAAATGGCGAACCGACAGATACGAAAGTACACTATCAAAATTTGGCTTTTATTTCTTGAGTTGCTCTATTTATTTCTAAACTATTGTGCAGGATTTTTTAATTTGATATAACCGGTGTATATAATTACTGCTTTGAGTACATGAATTAAATGTAAACAACAATAGCGGGAAAAAAATTCGTGTTCAGACAGATTTTTCAAGTTTTTTTGTTTTAAACAATGTTTATCTGTTTACGCAATAATGGTGCTATTAACATCGCTGTATTTTAAAGCAGTGTGTATATTTGATTTATGCAAATGTTAACTTAAAACTGAATCCACATCTTGCATGGTGTCCTTAATCAGTGTTAATTTAGTACACAATTTTCCATAAAAATTATAACATATGCATTTTCGACTTCCATATGGCTAGCCAATACAATGTGTCCTGGCTAGCCGTACGTGACTCACATATGGCTAGAACTTTTGGCTTGCCATACGGGCCCGTATGACTACCACTTCCAAAAAAGTTTTCCACTGGGACACTGGAACAGAGACCACCTCCGTGGTCGAGGGGTTAGAGTTGATGACTTCTAATCCAGTTACCTCTCTGGCGTGGGTTCGATCCCCAGGAGATGCTTTGGTAGTTTACCCCGGAGGAAGGTAGTCTAGTACTGGTAACTCTCCAGGAAAGATGGTTAGGAAACTACCCGCCTATATGACTGAAATACTGTTGGAAAAAGGCGTAAAATGAAACAAACAAACAAACAATCCACTGGAACAGCGTATAACTACCTTCTAATATTGTCTATTGGCCACACTTTACCATATCAACATAGCTGTCAGCTATATTGAGCATATTTCACCATAACAGTTACACATATGATTGAGCCGGATTGCTTTTACTATAATCAGGAATTTTTATTTGGCTTATTTTATAGCCGATGTTCGGTCATATTCCCAAATGAAAATAGTATGTTATTCTCCCAATCCACAAGAAAACATTCCCAATTGAAAGTTTCAAAATAAAAATATTGAATAACAAAATCTACAATTTCTGAAAATAAGGGCTTCTTTACTGTTAAGGTGTTGAAATGTTTGTAAATTGTAGATGTCATCCTATGCAGTTATCCTTTGCATTCATTTAATTCCATACATGTGATATCCCGGCGGGATTTTAAAAAATCCCGATATTTCGACACTTATCCCGATTCCCGATATTACAGCTTGAATTCCCGATATTTACAAAAAAATCAACATAAACAAAATCAACCACAGCACCTGTATCTAAAATGTAAACCGTGCCTCCGGGCATTGATTGTTATATGTCCATATCCTAAATTATAGCGGATTAAATGTTGAGTCGCTAATTGACAGCAAGGTGACGTAATAAACAGTTCCATCAGTCAAAGTTATTCTCACATGTTTAACTTAACACGTGTCGTGTGTCAGTCAATTGACCTCAGTAGGTATTATAGCTACGTCATCAAAACGACCCTGTAAATTTACATGTATGAATTCGGCTCAACCTTTGATTTTCTTTGATTAGTGCCGCACTGATAAAGATTAAAGGTGAGCAGAATCATTTAAAGTGGATCATTCAAAAACCTGTTTAAGATGCCGGCAAAACCATGTCTAATTAACCTAGTTTAAGTGAGTGGGTAATTTTTTTTGTTTTGTTTAGGAATTACACAATCATCGGAAAAAATGTGGATTTAATTAATGGAACGATTCTTGCATTTATTTTGAGTCTTCTACTTACGTTACGTTATTTAACAGTCAGAGTCTTTGTCTCTTATGTTCATGAATAGTTGTTGCACGTTTTCAAATAGCTTGTGTTTTAAATTATTAGCCAATTATTGTATGACTGAAAAGACAGATATAATTATTCAGACTGAAAATAATGAAATGTGAAAATGTGACTGTTTTAGAAATAGCCTGTATGACTTCACCTATTTATTTATCTATTTATTTATCTATTTATTTTTTTGTGAAATAAATTAATATTGATCAACATTAAACTAAAAAATCATAAAAATATATAATCTTTTAATGATTTTGAGGGTAATATAGATTCTTTGATCCAAACATGCATTGAAATTCGCGTCAATAAAAAATCCAGTTTTGGGCCTAAAAATCCCGCTGAAAATCCAGATTTGGCCCAATTCATTTGGCACATGTATGTAATTCACGAATTCGAAAACCTAGCTTAATGCCATTTTCCGGTACTTTCTGACTACAATTACTACATAGATCTGGGGAATTTGCCTAATGGAGTGTAATAGCGAACTCGATATTTTCGGCCTTTTTAGCTCGACTATTCGATAAGAATAAGTAGAGCTATTGTAGTCACCCGAGCGTCGGCGTCGGCGTAACCACTTATGTTAAAGTTTTTGTAATAGTTTAAATATTTTCAAAGTCCATTGACATATGGCTTTGAAACTTTGCACACTTGTTCACCATCATGACCCCAACCTGTAGACAGGAGGAGGTAACTGTATCAAGCATTTTGACAGAATTATGCCCCTTTTTCGACTTAGAATTTACGTTAAAGTTTTTGTAATAGTTCAAATATTTTCAAAGTCCATTGACATATGGCTTTGAAACTTTGCACACTTGTTCACCATCATGACCCCGACCTGTAGACAGGAGGAGGTAACTGTATCAAGCATTTTGACAGAATTATGCCCCTTTTTCGACTTAGAATTTACGTTAAAGTTTTTGTAATAGTTCAAATATTTTCAAAGTCCATTGACATATGGCTTTGAAACTTTGCACACTTGTTCACCATCATGACCCCGACCTGTAGACAGGAGGAGGTAACTGTATCAAGCATTTTGACAGAATTATGCCCCTTTTTCGACTTAGAATTTACGTTAAAGTTTTTGTAATAGTTCAAATATTTTCAAAGTCCATTGACATATGGCTTTGAAACTTTGCACACTTGTTCACCATCATGACCCCGACCTGTAGACAGGAGGAGGTAACTGTATCAAGCATTTTGACAGAATTATGCCCCTTTTTCGACTTAGAATTTACGTTAAAGTTTTTGTAATAGTTCAAATATTTTCAAAGTCCATTGACATATGGCTTTGAAACTTTGCACACTTGTTCACCATCATGACCCCAACCTGTAGACAGGAGGAGGTAACTCTATCAAGCATTTTGACAGAATTATGCCCCTTTTTCGACTTAGAATTTACGTTAAAGATTTTGTAATAGTTCAAATATTTTGAAAGTCCATTGACATATGGCTTTGAAACTTTGCACACTTGTTCACCATCATGACCCAACCTGTAAACAGGAGGAGGTAACTGTATCAAGCATTTTGACAGAATTATGCCCCTTTTTTGACTAAGAATTTACGTTAAAGTTTTTGTAATAGTTCAAATATTTTCAAAGTCCATTGACATATGGCTTTGAAACTTTGCACACTTGTTCACCATCATGACCCCGACCTGTAGACAGGAGGAGGTAACTGTATCAAGCATTTTGACAGAATTATGCCCCTTTTTCGACTTAGAATTTACGTTAAAGTTTTTGTAATAGTTCAAATATTTTCAAAGTCCATTGACATATGGCTTTGAAACTTTGCACACTTGTTCACCATCATGACCCCAACCTGTAAACAGGAGGAGGTAACTGTATCAAGCATTTTTTTTTACTATCAAGCACTAAGAATAGTCGAGCGTTGCTGTCCTACCGACAGCTCTTGTTTTAAATTAAATTGAAATAAAAAAGTTATTTCTTTATAAGAAAATATTTGAATATCATTGTATGAATAATTCCATACAAAAAATAAAGTAAATATACAAGTTTACGCAGAAAATAACCTTATTTATTATGGAAGATTCCACTACGTCTGTTTAAATTTTATTGATTTTCATTATAAACAATTTATTTTTTTGAAAACTTTGCTATAGATATTGAAGGAGTATTGATAATTTTCAAAAACATCAATTACTTTCACCTTAAACGGTAAAATAATGATAGAAAAATAGAAATATCATGTAACTGTGTTATGTACTTCATTTGGTGTAATTCCCCAGAGCTAAATCCGTAACGTACCGGAAAACGCTGTTTAGCTAGGTTTTCGAAAAGGTCAAATACTGCAAAATTTTAGTCTTGCAATTTTTCCCAATTTTTAACAAAACATCGCTGAAATTCCCAATTCCATGAATATGGGTCATGTTCCCAAAATCCGGGGAAAAAAACCCTGATAATTTACAAACTCTCTTCATTTCCCACATTTTACTTTTAAAAAAATATAATATTTTGTACTTTTGGTTTTTCAAACCTAAGACTTATAATAGGGAATTCCTAGATAAATCTGTGAGTATGGTAAAGAATAAGATACCTGTGAAGAACTGTTTTGAGTAAATGCTTTTAAACTACATGTAGAGTAGAATCATATGTCTTTTGTACTGTACTTGATTGAAATCATATTAATTTTTACTTTTGTTTCAACAGGTGCTGATAGTTGCTTCAACAGATATATGCAGTGAGAATGGTGTACAAACGCTCAGAGTACGGACAGCAGTTCAAGGTGTCAAGCCTTGTTAAGAACGTCCCTGTTTATAAAGAAAATTTGCAATACAGACATCTTCGTCGGGAACGAGAATGTGCTCACACACCACTGTCATGGGATGGAGAAACAATTGACTCTTCTGAAAGTGATGAAAAACTTAGCCAAGATGAGGAAATAGAAAAACTGCCTATCTCTGAACTTGTTATTACTGAGGAGGATGAAGGGGAAATTGAAGAGAATAAAGATGAAGATGATATAGATAAAGAGAAAAAGATTGCATGGGAAAAAGATGCTGAGTGTCAAAAGGTCACGGAGAACGAGAATGATGTGGTAGTTGTAAAACAGAATGAGGAGTTGAGAAAGTCTGCAAAAGAAAAACTGAATAAATATTCCAGTAATGTGAATAAAGATCAACCAAGTAAAAGTAAAGTGATTGGTGAGAAAAAAGTTTGTAAGTATAATATATACAATTTACAAACAGCATAATTTCTTCAGCAGATTTTGTCATATTATATTCTCTTTTGTCGGTTTAGACAGACAGGTTATATATATTTTAAGAATTTAAAAAAATATTTGTAAAAAAAGTAATATCTTCTTAATATACTTTAAATTTTCAAAATCGGTTAATAAATGGTTAAGCCATAAGATTTATGTAAAGTTGGTGAACAATTATCATGGTCAGCCTTCACATCTGTGCAGTTTTATTTTTTGATAGTGAAAAAACTTTTATTTAATACAACTGTTCCAAATTCAAAGCTTGCACAAAGGCAACCAGGTAATGTATTAAGATTAACATTTATTTATCTATATTTCCAGTAGGCAAGACATTTGCTAAACCCAAACAAGCAGATGATAAAGTGTTTGTCAGCAAAATTAAACCACATCGGCCAGATAGACAGGGAAAGATACCAAGAGCGCGTCCTCAATCAGCTCCCAGTGCGCGACCTTTAGCTCAGGGTGTGGTGACTATGAATCCTTTCTACAATTTTGGATCTGGTACCAATGATGCCTGCACCGGTGATAAAAAGACATTTAATGTCAGAGCCTCATCAGCTGTAAGTACATGTATATGTATGATTATGTAATGATACAGTTTTCAGAACATTTCTGCCTACTTGAAAAACACCCGCCAAGGGTCTCAACTCACTTTTCTTTTTTAAACAGCAATACAATAAATACATTGGCATAAACATTGACAGAATGGTTAATTAGGTTTTCGTACTGCCTGTCTCTAACTGACATGAGATCATTCTCTAATGTGGTGTTATGCCGTCTTGTTCAGGAGCCATCCAGTGACTGGCTCAGCATATCAAAGATAGGTAGTAAAACTAGCAATGGTCAAAAAATAGCATTTGCTTGACAGCAACAAAGAGGGTCCTTTAAAAATTCCCAATTTACAGTGAAAATTGCTTGTAAATGTTACTAGCCTGACATGATTGTCTATTTTAGTGGTAAACCCTAAACATTATGACTAAACTAGAAGAGAAAGAGAGACCTTTCAAACTCTTTATCAGAATCTTCTTCTGTCAGTCATTTATGACCTAGGCGATGTTTGAATGACATTAATCCCAGGAATATAGATTTATAAATAATTTAAAGTAACTCTACTATTCAAAGAAGTGGTACTGTCTCATTCCATTGTCCTCATTGGCGAACACTTGACCCTCATAGTTGCTATGGGTTCAAATCCTGCCAGGCACTTTGGATTTTTTTCATGTGAGGAAGCAATCCAAATAGCTTGCAGATTGACAGTGGTTTTACTCTAGGGTGCTTACTCATGCCTGAAATACTACATAAAGGGGCACCTGAGGTTTTTATCCACCAGTAAAGGTGGGATGTTGCCACATTATGGTTATTACCTTTACATTGACAGTGATTGTATGACCTAAAACAAAACAAACATATAAACACACGATATTTTACATGCAACTTCAGATCTCATTAATAATAATTAAATGTTAAAATTGTTCACTTGAAACTTCACTCCTGACAAATTCAAACACATGCTGTGATCTAAAAATTACTTGTATATTTTCATTTGTAAGGTCTACCCAGCTGCTCTGAGAGCAAAGAAACGAAATCTCCTGCTCATTGAAAAGCAAATAGAGAGACAGAAGACTGCTTCGGCACGAGAAAAACGAAGAAAGGCCAAATTTAACGAGAGAATGGCCAGACAGACAGCTACATGGGAAACAGAGTATCATAGATGTTTCCCGGCTTACGATAACACAGAATATGCTGTTTCTGATAAAGACCCAAGAAAAAAGAAAAGTTTCTTTCTGACATGAAATTATTATGAAAAAAGAGCGCCGAATGTTGTTTTCTAGAGAACGTAATTTTTATTTTCAATAGATTCAGTTAGGTATTGAAGCTATGTATATTTCTTTTGAACGTTTGTCTTTTTTGCAGTTTTTTTTTGGGTGGAATCAGTATGTAATGCAACAGTTGGTTTAGTCTTTCCGGTCAACATGCATCTAAATTTGTGAAGAAGATTATGATTTATTAAAATTCAAGTCAGGCAAAAACTGCTAAATGTACATAATAGTTAAGTTGAAAGTTGGTTTCTTCAACTGCTAATACTACAGTAAGCTGTCAGTATTTCTCAATATTAAGAATCTCTGTTTAAAATGCTCATTAAGACAATATATTATATTAAAAATGATGAAAATATATCTTCAAAATTAATGAGCAATTAGTCAGTTATAAATACCGCACTTCATCATTCAATAAGTACATGTATGTTCATCACATAAACAGCTACCCAGGAATGTTAAAAAGCCATATTAAAAACAATATTACACTAGTGTAATAACACTTTGATGTGACATCAAAAATAACTGTTTCTTTTTTAACAGTTTACCGTTCTTATTTTATATACGTGATAAATAGAAAAATTATATATGTGTAGATTCAATATTAGATTTATTGAACTCGTTGAATAAAACAATTTTATGCTCGCCAGAAGCTGGCATAATATAATTTTATTCAACTCGTTCAATAAATTCAGTATTAAACCTACATGTATACTCATTCAATATCCTTTATATAATACACCAAACTCACTGCACATTTAAGGTAATATCTTGAATTTTAGTTATTTATGTTTGGGTACAATTGCAGCCATTTTTCATTATATCACCAGGCTAGATTGCACATCGGTACAATCTGATATGGCATACTGATGTTCCTTTGCTCAGTTTTTATACTTAAATGTAACAGTCACTGAACATAACATGCACATTTTTACATTTAAAAAAGGACAATTTAAAAAATACAGCAGATTTCAGGTTATTAAAGATATCTGGAAAAAAAAAACCGGTTATTAAAGATATCTGAAAAAAAAACCAACTGAAGACAGTTGTACACCACACTTAAGGGTGTCTTTTTTTGTTTTGTTTTTTGAGAAACTCATAGTTTTACATTTTAGGTTTATTTTTCTTCAAGAAAAGATAATTAAGATTCAATTTCATGAAAATCAGAACATAGTTTTCTCAAAGGTACTATACTGTATGCAGTGAAAGATAGTGGAGTATCAGGATAATTGAGCCGCATCACGACAAAACCAACATAATGGGTTTGCGACCAGCATGGATCCAGACCAGCCTGCGTATCCGCGAAGTCTGATCAGGATCCATGCTGTTCGCTATCAGTTTCTCTACTTGCTATAGGCTTGTAAGCGAACAGCATGGATCCTGATCAGACTGCGCGGTAGCGCAGGCTGGTCTGGATCCATGCTGGTCGCAATCCCATTCTGTTGGTTTTGTCATGACGCGGCTCATATGATTTAATGAGATTGATTTTTGTTTCGTTTTTGAAGTTAACAGCTTGTTTAGTTTTGACATAAAGATTGCTTAAATCTTATTCATTTCGTGTTTTAACCCTACTTTTGGCTACAACCATGTTTTGTTTTTTTTATCTTAAAAGTATTTTCACTTGTTATACTTATTTTATAACATGATTGTTTTTTTATGTAAATTGTATTTTAAGACTGTCAGATTTTAGTTTAAATAAAGATTTGACATATTTCTAGTTAATGTATATGCTATTTTTTACTCATAAAAATCAGACCAGTTTGACTTTTTAAAAAAGTTACACAGACTAGTTTGCTTTACGCAAGCATTGTTTTAATTTTGTCTGATTTAAGATTTATCAACCTAGAAACATTATTTAAAAGTGTGCATAAACAAATTTTGCTAGTCTCTGAAATTCTGTGATAAAATCATTGTTTTATTTTTGTTAAACTTTTCGGCTTTTAGGTAAGGTGTGTTGAATTTTTGTTTTTTCCTAGTGTCGCAAACTCTTTTTGTGGATATTTTGATGAAAAGAACACATTACAGGTTTTTGGCTTTGGATTTTAAAGTAATTAGACATTTTTGTAGCTTAATTTAAAATACAATTTATCAAAATAAGCTTTTGAATTTCTTTTCCTTTCTTTCTCTCTTTTTTTTTTAATTTTCAGACTGCCATAGTATTTTTATAAAAGCTATGCCTAATATTCTCAGAGGTGTTTAATTAAGCATGTTTCAGGCAAATATATAGCTAGGACTATAAAATCATTGGCTTCAATCTAATGAAACATTTCAGTGAAGAAATGTTTGTCTACAAATATGATACATTGGTAAACAATGAAACATAAAGGTTTTAATTCATGGCCAAGTAGTAATCATGCAAATAGATAGAAGGAATTTGACGGTAGAATAGACTACTCCGGAATTAAGAATATTTGGGTTTTTCCCAGCTAATAACCTACATGTATGTACAAACTTTTACAGTAACAGCTTCGAAAATAAGCAAACAGGTTGACTAATCTATTGTGATGGGTAGTGCACCATGAACGTATAATGGTAAAAGTTAGTTTGTACCTACAGATTAGCTGGGAAAAACCCTCTTTACCAAGTACCGGATAACGTCTATATAGTGTATAGTTTATTGAATATAGCTTTGATAAACTGCCTTGTTATACTCATAATTTCATGACAGCATCATTGTATGTATACACATTTTATAAATTTAAGAATAATAAACTCATTTGAATGATAAATGTTGTATGTTTTCTTTGTAGAGATTGACGTTTCACAGTAAATTTGGTCAGGTGTATTAAATTAAATCCTTAATAGTGATTTTTATCTCGACTTTTTAAAAAAAAGAAAGACAAAAGTAGAGGTATTGTTATAGTCCTTGCGGTGTGGCGTCTGCAAACTTGTACCTGGATCATAACTTTTTAAGTTCTTGGTGTATTGTCTTCATACTTGGCCACAACAACCCTTTGGCAGTAGACCAGACTAATCTTGACCTAGTCTATAACATTATTATTTTTGAATGGATTGTCTTCAAACGTGAACATAATAATCTTCAAGGATAGCCCTTTAAGTTAACCAGACAGACCTTGATCTTCACTCATAAATGACCTTGACTTTGAAGGTCAAATTATTGAAATTTTCATTTTTAGCTCGACTATTCGAAGAATATGAGAGCTATTGTAGTTGCCCCGGCGTCGGCGTCAGCGTCGGCGTCTGCGTAGGTTAAAGTTTTTTGTAAAGTCAAATATCTCAATTATTACTTGAGATATTCAATTGAAACTTACAATACTTATTTATAGTAACAAGGTACATCAGATTGACAAGTTGGATAACTCTGCCTACAATATTGACAGAATTATGCCCCTTTTTAACTTAGAAATTTTGGTTAAAGTTTTTTATAAAGTCAAATATCTCAATTATTACTTGAGATATTCAATTGAAACTTACAATACTTATTTATAGTAACAAGATACATCAGATAGACAAGTTGGATAACTCTGCCTACAATATTGACAGAATTATGCCCCTTTTTAACTTAGAAATTTTGGTTAAAGTTTTTTATAAAGTCAAATATCTCAATTATTACTTGAGATATTCAATTGAAACTAACATTACTTATTTATAGTAACAAGATACATCAGATTGACAAGTTGGATAACTCTGCCTACAATATTGACAGAATTATGCCCCTTTTTAACTTAGAAATTTTGGTTAAAGTTTTTTATAAAGTCAAATATCTCAATTATTGCTTGAGATATTCAATTGAAACTTACCATACTTATTTATAGTAACTATGTACATCAGATTGACAAGTTGGATAACTCTGCCTATAATATTGACAGAATTATGCCCCTTTTTAACTTAGAAATTTTGGTTAAAGTTTTTTGTAAAGTCAAATATCTCAATTATTGCTTGAGATATTCAATTGAAACTTACAATACTTATTTATAGTAACAAGGTACATCAGATTGACAAGTTGGATAACTCTGCCTGCAATATTGACAGAAAAATGCCCCTTTTTAACTTAGAAATTTTGGTTAAAGTTTTTTTTGTAAAGTCAAATATCTCAATTATTGCTTGAGATACTCAATTGAAATTTAAAATACTTTTTTATAGTAATAATGTACATCAGTTTGCAAAATTGCATAACTCTGCCTGCAATATTTGCAGAATTATTTGCCCCTTTGAAACTTAGAAATTTTGGTTAAAGGTTACAGGTCTTCAAAAATATTTACTTGAAACTTTACACATGCACTTAGGGTCATAATTGGAGGGTCATAATTGTATGTCACTGACCAAGTTCCATAACTCTATCTTGCATTAAGGCTGATTCATATCCCCTTTTCTACTTAGTCTCTTGGTTAATGTTTACATGCAAGTTTTACATATCTCAATAACTATTAAAGATATTTATTTAAAATTTCACATATGCATTTAGGGTCATAATTGTAGGTCACTGACATATATCCATTATTCTATCTTGCATTTAGGCTGATTTTTCTCCCCTTTTTCAACTTAGAAATTCATGGTAAAGGTTTGCTTGTAAGCTGTTATCTCAATAACTACTGAAGGGTTTGTGCCTTTTTTGGGACAATTTTATGCATTCATAATAATAAAGCAGTGATTTACTTGATAAAACATCTTAATAACAAGCCTTTGTACCTTTTCTGTCAAATTTATGTATTCATAGGTAATTAGTATTATTATACTCAATAAAACATCCTAATGTGACATTACCTTCCAAATAGTCAAGCCAATACTGTATAATTAGACCCTCTCTAAGGCCTATTACATGAATTTATAAAAAAAAGTAGCCCTTTTGTGAACTTAAAAAATTTAACATTATCAAGGCTCTTTTACTATCAAGCACTTAGAATAGTCAAGCATGCTGTCCTACTGACAGCTCTTGTTTTCACTGTAACTGGCTGTTACTTTGTTATTATTGAATGGATTGACTTAATATTAAAACAGAACATTCTTTAGGACCAGACCTTCATGTTTATCAAACTCTAGTTGACCTTGGCTGATTTAGGACCTTGACCTTGAAGGTTAAATTATTGAATTTCATTGATTTGTACATTAGTTGACTACATATATATTGGTGTATATATATCTTTGTATATAATTTTTTAAATTAATATTTTCTTTCTGAATTTTGATAATATTTTCTAACATTTTCTTTTATTTATGGAAAGGATTCATACTCCGACAAAACTAGTGTGACAAGACAGACCTATTAAAATTATAAAAAGGAATCTTTAAGATTTTTTCAAACCATTTCTCTATTTGCTTTTAGAAAAAGGAAAAAGTCGAGCATTGTCCCCGCCCGGTGGTGGCTCTTGTTCATGCCAAAAAGTGGTTGACTTTTTCTTAGAACTTTGAGTAGAAGGGTTTTTAAATTCATATGTAATAGTAGAGTTGTCCTATCATTAAATCAGACTTCTGACATCTTGCAGTGAAATGAGCAGATATTTTCATTTCACAAGAGTGATCAGTGATCACCTGTGTCATGATAGCCATTTGCATGTTGCAGCTGTTGTGTAGCAGGAGACACAAAAATCATTAACATTGGCAAAATGTGTTATTTTTTCCAGGGCCATAATTTGGCCAAAAATCATTCAAGTGGAAAACCCATGTGATAATTATGCACAGTCAAGTACTTCAGCTACCAATCAATCCTGTAAAGTTTCATTGAAATTGCATTGATGGTATATATAGAGAGGTAGTCCGAACAAACTGTAAAAAATAAAACATTAAAGGGCCATAACTCAAATCATTGAATCGGAAAATGCCAATAATAAGCACAACTACACTTGGAACTGATCATTCCTGTAAAGTTTGGATAAAATTGCACCAGTAGTTTTTGAGGAGTTGCCCGGACATGTTTTGTGACAGACTGACAACAGAGAAGTGATCCCTATATGTCGCCACTACTTTAGTGAGGTGGCACAAAAATGTCAAAAGTCCATGTCGAGTTGACTAATGTGGATATCAGTCTTACAACCATTGACAATTTTATGATCGTGCATGTGGTTAATTAGCCACATTGACTTGAAAATTAAAATTAACATTTAATATTCTTCCATGGTGTGGAGATTTTGCCTACCTCTGGTTAGTATATGACTATGAGTATCATCCATTGTAGAGAGGCTTCAAAGTTTAAAACATTGAATTTGTATTAAAACAAAACAAAAATTCAAACACATTTTCAAAGTCTTCTTTTTATATTTTTTTATAGACATGAAATAAATGAATCCATATCATATTAGATATAAACATTTGAAATGAAACAACATGAAATTTATAACAAATATTACATCAGACTTGACAGCTGTAACAAAAATTACTTTCTAATTTTCTACAGCAAAAAATCATTATGCCTACAATTTAAAAACAGTCTACAGAGAACACTGGTCTTTAATCATTATAAAAAGTTATAAAAATAAGAACAATCCACAAGATATTTTAAATAAAACGGAAATTTTAAGGGAAATTTGAAGTTGTGCTTTCGATATTGATAATTTTAACTTGTATAGTTATTTATATCACAGATGAAAATTAAACCATTAGTAAATGAGACGGCATAAACCAGCTGCCAGAACTAAAAGTGAATGTTTTACCACCATTATAGAACCAGGCCAGTCTGCAAGGTGTGCATGCTGAGTCTAAATAGGCTGATTCTGTTTTTAACATTTTTAAAACAGGGTGGCAAATTTATGCTGTTCAAAAGTTTTAGGGGGGCAGATGTCAGCTCCTTCTAAAGATATGAGGGGGCAAATATCCGTCACTGCAAAAAAATTACATTACCTCTTGCAGGCAGGGGGGGCAATTGTCTGAGTACCGATCAGGCTTTATACTGTTGGTAGTTCAATTTTTGAATTTTCATATTAAAATACCTTAAACTTTGAATGGACTTTTCCAAATTCAAAGCAAGTTAAGGATTAATAACTGACATTGTTTTCACAAGGGAAGCAATACTGGCCATGGTTTGTATACACATGAAAATATCTTTGACTAACATTTTGTAACCATACATTCACTTGGATTAATCAATTATTCATAAGGTATTACATGTATTTAGTATACTGACCATTTGAAACTAAAATCTTTGGACAAATGAAATACATCTGTTCCCCCCAACATTTGTGAATGTAGTAACCTTTCAATAATTTACAGAAATTTTAAAAACTACTTCTCTGACATCATTCTTACTCTATATTTGACCAGTGTTCTTCGAAAGGAACTAAATGACACAAAATGATATGTGCATATACATTCTACATGTACATAATCTAAAAATAGGCATACAAAATATACATACATGACTTTTTCATTCTGAATATTATTTTTTTTGCTTTCCTAGTTACTCAAAATTATAATATAAATATGTCAAACTATATACAGATTCATGATGAATGATTGCATTGAATAAACATGGTGTAACTGAATTCATATGTTTGCACAAATAAATATTATTATTAGATGGGCAACAGTGCAAGTATCAAATGATTAAAATACCCTTTCAAATAATCACTGAAAAATGTTTTAAATGCTTGAAATTTAATATGAAACATTATGTTCAGATTTCTATTAACGTTTTTTTTTTGTTTTGTTTTTTTCTTTTTCACTATGCCAAGTCAATTTTAAAACATTATCATTTATGCTTTAAATATTGTTAAAAATGTAAGCTTTTGGTCAAAACATTATTTATCAATTTGACATCACGATTAAATTGATTTCC